GTTTTTTGAGACAATATATTATGTTACTCTACCTATTCAATGTTTTACATTTGTAATAAAATCAAGATTGTTTATTGCAATCAACTGAACACAATCCAGATAATAAACTTGGAAATTTTCTTAAAAATTATTAGTTTAACTTAGCTTAAAAAGCTTATCAGTACATCTGTTATTTTGAACATTTAAGAAAATTTTTTTTTTCCATAAACTTCTTGAAAATCTTTTGTTTTCAATAAATAAGTTTGTCATTGCCCATAGATGTTTCAATTTACTTCTAGTACCCTACCGCAAGCTCCCTGAAATGAAGTTCCATCTGGAAATGTCATGTGAATCGGGAAATTTTTTTCAGAATCACAGACCCTGTGAAAACTCCAGTCAAGACACTCAACTATTTTTTCCCCAGCAAGTTTCAAATGCCAAAAGATCTTATTCGTATAAGGAATAATGATTGTTGATGTCTAAATACAATAAAATGCTGATGATTTAAAGCTTTTCCTATTGCACAAAAGATACAAGATAATAAAATTATTAAAAAAAACTAATGGCCCGATATATGTAACTTTTAATTAGATATATGAATGAGAATTATTTTGCTTTCTCAAGTACACAAAAGTTTTTGTAAATTGAAAAACCAGTACCAAAGAAATATACATTATTTAATTTTGTGGTGATTGCAAGGCTTCCAAATATTTTTTTACCATCCAAAACCAGTTTTTTAGAACGTAGTCTGTTTTTTAATGTTTTGGTCTATTGAAGGATTTGGAAATCAGATTAAAGAAGTATTTAAGTTGCATTAAAATTGCACCTTTGTATAACAATTTACATTGTTAGCCAATGATATTGACGCACTGTTGTATTTATAGAGCGATATTACAATCCTTGCATTTGGGATTCCTTACTATTTTTTTTCCCTTGTGAGTGCTAGAAAGACACAGCTACATTACTTCAAAATTTTTATATGCCTTTTGTTCATTTGATTTAATTTAAATAAGATCAAACATGCAACTTTTCTGCATATCAGAAAACTTTTTTTTTTGGTTTGATTTCAATCAAAAGATTTTAACAACAATTCTAAAATTGCAAATATTTAATAGGTAGAATTGGGAGACCATCTACACAATGTAAAAAAACTGATTGAAGTATCTTATCAATTCTATACTAAATTTGTATACTTATTTACTATTTTTAAAAGTTGAAGACAAATCTTACATAATTGGTTGGGTTTTTTTCCATTTCACCGGTGCAAATACATTGCTATAAGTTGAATTTATATGCACCTGGTGACTTATCATTAGTAACTTTGTGATAGTGAAATAGAACATTAATTATTTCAAAATATTAGAAGTGATCTCTAAGATTTTTTTAAAATAATACGAGTCCAATTAAATATTTAATAATCACAAAACTTCAAAAAATTGCGAATTGTAGGTTATATAAAAATCTGGTTTAAAAAAATGTTTAGTTAGATTTAAAATTAAAGAACACTCTTTAATTAAAAATATTAGGTTCTGAATATAAAACTCATTACAATTTTAAATAGAAAATGAAACTTTCAGATTTTTTTTTTAAAGTAAGAAATGAGTCCTATTTAGAGTTATTTAAGTAATGTAATTTTAAATCAATTAACAGAAGAGTCAGAAAGAGATATTGCTGAATATGTTTATAAAAATATTGATATATTTAATTTATATTTTATTTACTATAGTTACTGCTTATGATTAAGTTAATTTATATTACTGTTAAATTTGTAATTTAGAAAGCATATTTTGGAAATTTTGTTACCCTGTGCAAAGCTAAGCTTTTTCGAACGTGCTGTGGTTTTGCGCTCGAGGATACAATTCCACTATCTATAAAATTATTGCACTGTTGAGGATTCTTATCTTCTCAATTTGTTGTTTTAATAATTTTCAGTATTTTTGAATAATTTTTATGAAAACAAATAATAAAATACGAAATATGTTTAGAATCACAAATTTTTTTTAAAAAGTACAAACTAATAGGCTTTTCATATATCCATTGCCTATTATTAGCAAATGCAGTGACAAATTTCATATGGTTTAGATTAGCATTTTAAAAATTTGATTTATCTCTTTATCATTTAATTTAAGAACAATTAAAATTAGCAATTCAATAATAACAGATTTGTCAAATTAGATGATTGAAGGACCATTTGCTAATTTATTTTTAGACAATTACTTTGCTGCAGTACTTTTTTCTAGACAATTTTGAAACTATTTTTAGTTATTTAATTAAAGAGATATTGAGATAACTGACATTGAATTTCATATTACTTACTACTAAATCCTAATTTCAAATTAGGGTAACATTTTTGAATCATTTTTTTTAAAAATAAATCGTCCAGCTTAGTAATTTTTACTTGTTTGAATCTTTATGATTGGATTCAATAATTAATAAAAATGTTAGAAATCATTCACTAATTTACATATGTAATGATTTTATTTAGGTGTTTGTTATCTACCTAATTCACAACACATTTTTATTAATTTGGTATGATCAATCATTATCTTGTAAAAATGACATTAAAGAAGCTCGTGATAACGTTGTCACTCTGAAACAGTTAATTTGTAGAGACAAAATTGCACAGATATTATGAAGATAATGAAGGATATCGTAAATGTAAAATTGTTGATACTTTTGGAAAAAGTTTTTCCTTTCGAGAAAAAGATTTTCTTGTAACAACTTTTTATTTAACAAAAGAAAAAAAAAGTTGATTCCCCTCATTCTGAATTGAATGTTTTCTGTTTTGCATAATTTTCTTTTTGCATGGTATTTAATTTCTGTAGCGAATCTTAAATGTATGCTGCATTAAATAAGTTTTGAGAACTTACACATGGATTAGATTTATTTTAACGAAATTTCTGACTTGTTTATTGTTTTGAAAAAACAGTTTCAAACTAAAAAAAACAGTTTCAAAAATTGGAATACTTTTTAAGTATATTACCTTATTAAGAAACTTATTGTAAAATTTCTAACTTGTGAGTAGGATCCTGTTTCTAAAAGAATTTTATTTTAATATCTGAAATTAAACTGTTTTAACTATAAATGATCCTTCTAAATCCTTTTCATGGCCTACTCGTTCCTTTTAAATCTTCTTTTGAACTGCAAATAGTCCTCTTTTCTATTGCTAAAATGAATTGTAAGCTCAATGATTGACTTGTATATATTAATATATGACTTGTATATAAATACATACATATATATTTTAAACATAGGAATTTTTTTTATGTCATTACTTCTTGTTGAAGTCCTAAACATTTATTTCTATTCGTTATCTAAAGACTTTAAAATCAACAGAATTCTCACTTCATTCTGAGTTTTGTTTCTCTATATAATGGATAGCTAACAACATAATAAGTAGCATTTGTTACAGTAACATATTATATAAAGAAAGAAAAAAACTTGCTTACAGGTGCATAGCATTTTTAAAAAGTGCTTATTTTTACTTTTTGTTTTTATAAGCCCTTAAAAGTACTTCTTTTCAACGGTTGTTTTTAAAAAGTGCTTAATATTCCTTTTTCTAAAATGAGATTTTTTTTCTTTGCCATGTTGATTATCACCACCAATTATGCAAAAAGAGTGGTTTTTATATTTTTCAACATTTTCTCAATTCATTCAACCACAATCCATTTTGGTGTACTGTCGGTCTTGTATGAAAGCGCCAATCATTTTACATGTTTGATGAAATACGTGTGGATCTGCATGTGCTTACACAGCTGGATTCGGTCATAAGGATTCTTGCACCCTTATGTGTAACTGTACTGTATTTTGCATGAGATTCTTGATTTCAGACTTCACCTTTGAAATCAAACCGAAAACTTTCTCCAATTTTTGGCTTATCATGGGGATTAACTAAACATTGCCTAAATTTTTTTCCCTAATAGCAAACTAAAATTTTATTTCTCTTGTTAATTTAATCGCTGGTGAAGCAGCAGCATCTTCGTCCCTGACAAGCTAATGACCTTCTTGCGCTGGATCAGTAACATAATCTTATGACTTGGGATTGTTCACTAATTTCGTATTTTCATGTGGCTCCAGAGCTGTCAAGAATCATAAAGCTTTATCACCTCAAAATTCCCATTTCCTTTTTATTCATTAAATTTAATAAAGGTAAATATTAATTGAGTTTTTTAAATCATAGGATCTTTTACCCTAGGGACAGTTCACTAATTGCATAAAATTTTTAAACTTTTATTGTGGTACTTTATTACTAATAAAATTTTCAGTGCTCTTTAGTTATTTTATGAAAAACTCAATAATATTTAAGGGCAAGATTTTTAAAAAAGTGTGAAGTGAGGGGCTTTTTACTTTTTTAACATTTAGCAAATGCAGTTAAAACTCTTACGGTAATTTAAATTTGTCATTCCAAAGAACTTTAATTCATCTCTTAATGATTTAAAAAGAATTGAAATACCCCTGTGATAATGCATTCTTCTGTCCTTGTAAATGTATCCCTTTTGAGCAGGACTTCATAAATTTCTCAAATATTGTTCGCTTTCTCTTAAATATTTAATAGCAGGATAGTTTATGTAGTTACTTTTAAATTAAGTACTATGTTCACTACCTGCTAAGAAAATGAGAGGCTAAGATATATGCATTTTGAGTAGGTATTCCATGAACTTTTAGTCTTGCTTTTAATTATAAAAAAGTGAAATGATAAGTTAAATCATTAAAAATTCACAGATGAATTCTCTTTTTTAAAAAATTAAAATTAACATATAATTTTCAACATCTCAAAGAATGAAGTATTGAGCAAGACTTTTTAACAACTGCTTAAATTTTAATAACTATACATATTGAAATATTAATTGATTAAAATAATAATTATATTGTTCATTCAAGTAAAAAACATAAGTAATGCTTCTTTAAAATAATTTATAAACAAAACATACAACAATTTCATTGCATAGTTAATTTCAAAATATAGCCAAAAAATTAAAGTAACTCAAAATTCCTATAGATTTTAAATTCAAAAACATTGCCATGGATAAAATAGATGTATTTCACAAATTTGACTATTAATAAACTCATTAAAAAATAAACTATTACAATTGTTGCTCATGGATTTAGGGTTTGGATTTTTGACAGGACACCTGGGATTTACTGCCCAAAACCTATAATTTCAAAAATAATTAAAACTCTTGAATCATTCTAATTTTTTACTAAATATTTGAATTTAAATATTTATTAAAAAATGTTTAATATGAAACCCAAAATCCATTGTGCTCTTTAAATTACATAATTACAATAAAAATGCACATAACATATTATAAATGACTCCAACAATATTTAAAAAGACTGCATTTAAAATTCATAGTCATTATTAGCACATACAAACTTAACTAGTAAGCTTTTGTTTTCACCAGTTTCTTAAGTATTTATTATGCCTCAAAAAACATTGTTCTACAATATCTAATTTTAGTCAATAGTTTAAGACAGAAAAGCTTTGGTCGTGTATTCATAAGATTACACAAATCACGTATGTAATAATAACAAACTATAATTAATTTTATAGTTGCAATTAATATTTACCAACCTTTGCAATCGAAATTTTATGTAGTTCAACTAAAACTAATTTTTTTTTATTCAATTGAATTTTATTAAATATATTTTAAAGACAAGTATTAACATTTAACATAGATTAAAAAGTTGATTATGTGTTTTACAGTTATTGCAGATTCTTCAAATCTTTAAATATTGTTTAAATAAGACTTCAATAAAATTTAGTTACAGATAGTTTTTTAGATAGGATGGTAAAAACTGTGATGTAACATGTTTTAACATTGTGCCAAAAACTTTGCCAACTTTGTATAGATCTATAAAACATAGGTAAACTTGGTCAAAAAGTTGGAAACACATAAGTAAATATTTAATTTTGAAAGTCAATCAATTGTAATAGTAATTGTTTGTAGGGAATGTGAAATAATAAGTACAAAGACTTAGTTATTAAAGTTAGTAATATAATAAACAACTAAGAACCAAATAATAAATTTATATAATTACTAAACAAGTTAAATTAGCTGAATGATTTATTAATTTCACTAAAATTAAAAAACTACATTGCAAATTTATTTACATATTATCTGTGCTTATGTGAAATTACTGTTGAACTGTGATACATCCAACTATTAACATGTAAAGTTATTATCACATAATTATCCTTCATTGTTTTCTCTCTTTAGGCGGATAATTATTTTTTACTCTTACTTTTAAACAAATGTCAAAACGTTTTTAACGTTCTTATAATTAATTTTTATTACATTTTTTCAAATATATTTTACTGTCAATTTTTTTAAAACCCATACAAAGTTTGAGAACAAATATTTTTCTATGAAACTGGTTAAAAAGACACAGAGAAGCCAGTCTTTTTTTTTCTTTCTTGTTAGCAATATTCAGACGAAAAAATAACCAGCAAGCAACAAATTTTAACATTTGGGCTCATGATCTAAAATTAAATTTGAGATTGGTAAATTACCTATACACATATTAATTTGATATCCACCTTGAAATTAAGTATATATCTATAAGTGTTAATGTATTGTTATAACTTTAGTTACATACTTTTATAGTTTAAAACCATTTTATCATAGCTTCAAAAAATAATTTACTTAAATTCCTACATGGATAAATAATTATTTTCATAGTTCTAAAAGCACAAAATAATAAAATATTAAAGTTATTAGAATATATAAATTTTTGTACTTTTTAATATTTTATGAAATTTTTACATATAAATTTTCAGTAATAACATGCAAAATGTGAACAATACAATTAGAACTTTATACAACTTTTGCATTTAGTTAACTGTATAGTTTTCTCTATTTTCTTCTTAAAATCATCACAAAATTTTAACCATATCTGAAATCTATTATTACTAATTTAAACTAACATTTAAAAGTATATAAAAAATTAGAAACGAACAAATTAAAAATTGTGTCATTCAGTTGAGAAACCAGCCATCTCCAAAAATTCCGGAAATGCATTTTTTTTTAAAGCTCCAATTGAATTTTTTCATCGTACACTACAAGAAACCATAACAAATTTGTTCAAATCAGCCTTATATGCTTTTGAAAATCACGCTTTGCTACAAAGCTGATCAAATCATGCAAGCAGTGAATTTCAAAACCCTCATTTCCATGTTCTTGAAATTTTTATTCTGATGAAAAGTTTAGTTATTATATGTGTCTTCGCCTGTGACTGTATGCACAAAGTTTCCAATTGAGCTTTTTTTACTATGAATAAGTTAATGGAGACAGTGTCTCTGAATAAATCTTGAGAAGAAAAGTTGTTTTATGTCATGGAAAAGAAAGAAAATTCAAGCCCTTATTTTGCAATTTTTCAAAAGTAAACATTGTAATTTGTTTGCCGTGTTTACTTTTGGTCCCGGATTTCTGTTGTTTCAATGAAACTTCACAAAGATTACTGTAGGGCATTTTTTGAACATTTCACAACAAAATAATTTAGTTGATATTTTAGTAACATATTATCATATGCTAAATCAAATTAACTGTTACAAAGGATCGATTTCCTTGTTTTTGTCTCAGTGAAATGTTATGGGGTACTAGTTATGTCCACTTAAACAAGTAAAAAAGTAGCCATAGTTAGTAAAAGTTATAAGAATTCTATATTATGAGTTTCATAGTTTACAAGTCAGCTTCAAAGTGTTTTCTGATTTCCAAAATAATTTCTTTAAATATAATTTGCTTAAATTATGATTTTAATTTTTATTCAATACAATTTAGTAAAACTACAACATTTTTGTCTGTTTGCAAAATCCAGCACTTACATTAAAATTGAAAAAATCAGAGATTTTGCTAGTAGCAAAACTAGTGAAATCCAAAATAAAAATTCCTCACCCTTCATGTACCCCAAATTCTATATATTGTGCTTTAAAACACCTTAAACCAAATGACACAATTTAAAAGAAAGTATATATTTTTGTTGACAAATAATAGACAAATATTATGCTAGTATAATTATTTGTCTGTTATTTCTATCAATTTTGCACCGTTTTTAAAATATATAAAAAATGTAACATTTAAGATAAACAGAATTATAAATTTGTAGAGATGAAAATAAGTATTTTTTAAAATATATGTACAAATAAATTTGCCGCAACATAAATGAGGTAACAATTAGCTAAATTACTCTTTGAAAAAAAGTGCAATTTAGTTTCCTTGAAAACTGAATGAATAAAAGGAATCATCTGAACAACCAACCTATAGTATTATAGGTAAAAGAACTATTTGGAACTAAACTATTAGAGGTGTAATATAAATCTGAATTAACTTTTCAAATTGTTTTAAGTTTTGATGGATATATAGAACTACGGTTGGCCCAAGTGAAAAAGCTACCTTGGTAGTAATCTTATCATTATTCATAAAGTTAGGATAATTGCTACTATGAGTCACTAAAGATTTTATGTAATAAAAAGATTGACATTTTTTGTAAAATAATTTAAAAGAGAAAAACAATTGCTGTTTCTCACTTTCAGAATTTGAAATTATTTCTTTGAAGAAGAAAATTAGTAGTTCTTTTAAAGCACTATTACATTTAGGAAATTTGAACCCTTGGTTAATTTACTATAATACTTAATTATATATATACTTAAATAGGTGTATGCTACTAAAGTAAAAAACAGTAAAAAAAAATTATTTCATAAGTAAAAACAAATGACCTTCATTCTGCTCACATAATTTCTAAGTTGTGTGTGTATAAATAATTCAAATTAAAGAAACTCTTAACCATAATCAAAATGGAATGTTTTTCCACGGACATAAGCATATTTTAGCAGCTACCCTGAAGTTAACCATGAAATTTCTATTATAGAATGAAATTAGATTTACTTACTGAAATTTATGCAACTCAAACTGGTTTAGTATAAGGGTTGCCAGAACGTAAAGTGGTTATAAGAGATAGTGCCACCATACAGAGGAGCAGATTACAAATAATCTATTAACCAATTAATACAACAGCATTTAAAACGAATGTAAATTCATTCTACTTGTCAAAATTGATGCGCCCAAAACAGATCAATGCATAGTATAAGATTTTAAATGCTGAAAGTTGGCAATTTGTGGATATTTATTGTTAAAATAGTGGCTGTTTATTTCAAGTTCTATTTAAAACAAATGGCTGCAAAGTTTGCTGTTGGTGAAATGATTAGAGGTGATCAATAAATCATGATTTATGTTTTGCACCCTGAGAAAAGAAACAGTGCAATAACCTTCTCTCAATGAAATTCACACTGTTGCATGTTCTGAAAGCTTTAATCTTGAACTTGATTTGAAATAACTTTAAATGTTCTCATTGAATGAATGATTTATTCAGTTATGCTCAATCTACTATTATACATATCAACCTTTATAACCCTAAATAGTGGTGTCGTTATCGCTATTGAATTTCTGACATTATAAACCATGTCCACTAGTAATTTGCGCAACCCTAATATTTTAAAAGTTTAATCAAGGCTGTGATAAAGGGGCAACTCAGTACTTCATGTTGTACAAAGCACCACCAAATCATAATTTCCAAAGCCAATAGAAATGTGTTAGTGTGACAAAGTTAGGTAGTCCATTGAAAAATGAGGACTCGTTTCTAGCGAATAAGTCTAATTAAAATGATTGATAACCTATGAACGATTTTATCATGACTTCATAATAAAGTTTTTATATCATCTTATTAGAAAACTACAAAATGCTGGAAGTAAGATTTCCCACTATGATTTTGACCCAAAATCAAGAGAATTACATCCTCAATCTGGAAAATTTTAAAACTGCTCGCACTGGACTCTCTAAGTTAGATACAGGATTTCTAAATTATAAGATTAGCAGAAACAGGGTTGGCACAGAATTTACCATGATTTTTACTTGGAAAAACCGGATTTCTAAAAATGTTTGCAAAGGCTGAAATTTTCTATATATATTTTTTTAGTCTTTTCTCTTGATTTTTTTTCTGTATTAGAGCACCATTATGACTCCCTTAAAACAACCAATATAACAAAAATGTTTTTTTTTATGAGATCCTGTTCAAAATGCTAAGATTAAATATACAAAAAAGTATGTTTATAATAAGTTCTTCTTGTTTGGGCTTATATGATGTGTAGCATCTCTGCTTTAGTAGCATTTTGTGCTAAATGCACCAAACCTAATTCTCCCTAGATCCATTTGCTTGGGTCACTTAGTTTATTTATAAAGCCTGACAGTCCTTTCATACAGGTGAGGTGAAGCTTTTTAGGATGGAGAGTGCCTAAAGGTTAAATTTGTTTTTTACTTTTTCTTAAATATGCAGATGTTGAAATTATGTTAAGTCAAACTGTTTAAAGGATTAATTTTTATCTAGTTAAATAAAAATTATTTTAAATTTACTGACCATAAAATATTGTAAGTTTTTCAGTACTCAAAATATTAAAATATGATCAAAACTTTCATATTTTTTTTATAGAATAAGGTCATTCTGAATTAAAGAATATTCTGTGCTTAAATTGTCTTGATTTTGCCTTGTCTTTTTTTTGTACTATTTACTACTGATTTTCCATTTGAACCACTATGAAACCTGTTTTTGTCATAGATATTTTTAATGTTTATAATTTATTAATTTATAAATTAATATAACTTACGGTTAAAATTAAACATGTTTTAACATATTATCAGTGGTCTGCTCTTATATGACTTGATAATAACATTTTCTTCCTTATTTATAATAAGCATCATTGATATTCATTATTGTTGTTGCTTTGATTTTTGAAATCTTCATAAATAAATTATTATTTTTATTTTTAAATGATTTTAACAAATGATTTTTTGGGAAAATTTTGATCTTAAAAGTGCACATACAACGTGAAATAAGTAAAATCATTTTTTTCCCTAATCTAATATTATAAAAACGAATGACAAAAGATTGGCAAGATAAATCCTTATTTTACCCTTATCACTATTGTATATTTTTTAATGTTTCAATTCATTGTGTAAAAAAATAAAGAAAAAATTATTATTTAAGTCCTTTTTTCAAAAATAACAGTCCAAAATTCTGCTCAATTGGGCTCTCCGGTTATTTTCTGTATATAAATAGATTATTTTCTGCAACTGTAAGAAAGTTATGGTTTATAATGATATACTACAATAATATAACTTGTAATTATGATTTTAATATTTAATTAATGGTTATCAGTTCATATAAAAATCAATACATTTATCAGTTTTCTAAGTTTTTAAGAAGATTTACCTCAACTGGTTATGTGACAAATTAGCTTTATAATTACAATTTAAGAGATAGCTCACATCATATTACTGTCCAATGGTTTGTTACTTGCTCATATACATATTCATAAATATTTAATAATTCTTAATATTAACTATAATATGGAAATAATATATATTCCTATCAGTTATAAATAACAAACTATTATATCTATAAATAAATAAATATGGGTTAATAGTATTTACCAGGTTTCTCCCTGGTAAAAATCCAACCCTGAGCAGAAATGGCAAATAATTGAACTGTAACATAAAATGAAAATTAAATAATCTAAGAAAAAAAGATTGCAGACCATGTCACTAAACAGCAGAAACATTTTAAAAACTGGAATGAAAAGAAGTATAAAAAAGTGGCCAATTGCCAATTAATTTACTTTTAGTTTAAAATTTTTTATCATTACTCCTTAATTTCACTAAATAAGCATTTTAGCTTTAATGAAATAGAACATAAAATAAAAACTTATAAGGTTCTGTAAATACAGGTAATTTTTAAAATAACAATTTAAAGTGCTATGTTGAGGTAGTGTAAAAGTCAAAAGAGATTAAAAGATTAAGATGCTTTAAAAAGAAAATAATAATTACATCGCATCTTTTTGCCGGATACACATAAATAAGGTTCTAACCTCATTAAAAATTTAGGAACAAAACTTATATAATTTAGGCACTAACTTCTTTAAAGTAGTGACATCATACGTTATACATCTTTTATATGCCTTTCTTTTTCATACGACTATTTTCAGTAAGTAAACATTGAAACAATTTATGTTTCCTTTTGGAGCTTTTTTTGGCAATTTTCCCTTGTGCCTCTCTTCGACTTGTGCTTCTTTCTTAGCATGCTAATTGCCACTTTAAATGTATACAAGTACAGTATATAAATATTTATGCATTTTTTACTAAATAGCGGCAAACACTTAAATTTAATTAGTGGAAATATCAGAAAATAAAAATAACACATTTTAGTTAAACAGTTAATAACAGGTATCTCAAACTTCATGCAAAATTTGAATTAAATAGAAAATTAATTAATTTTGTATTGACAACCAATATAGTTTGACAGGAAACTGTATAGAGTTATTCAAAAAGCAGCACTATATGAAATAACAAAGTGTTTCTATTGTAGAATAATGTTTGAAAAATAATGAAAATTTGGCTGCTACAGTTCGCAATGCTACAGTTGTTGGTTTGACTTTGTCAACTATGAAGAGAGTTATTGAAAAATTTAAGGAGACTGGATCAATTGGGGACATTAATCAGAGAGGCCATCCAATACTCGTATGTTTCAACAAGACAGTGCAACATGCCATACTGCTTGTCAATCTATCTAATTTGCTTCATGAGACATTTCCAGGCCATGCATTCTTTCATTTCAATGATCAAAATTGGCCCCCTCAATCATGTGATTTGTTTTAATGAAAAAAAAATTATAATTAGAAAAAAAACTGTGCTTTTTATTTAATTCAAATCTTGCAAAAGTTTTGAGACACTTTTTTTAATTGAAAAACTATATTTTCCCATTCTTATTATATTCACTTTATATATGTGATGTATATTCACTTTAACATCACAAATGAATTTGTTTGAAAAATAATTTAATAAATTCATTATATGCCTATATTCTGATTCAGGAATATGTACAGATATTTATATTTAAAATTTTCATAAAAATAAATTTATCTATATTATATACACATTTACATAACAGCCTATTGCTTAAAGTGAATAAATACATTTAAATATATACATATATTATTTCTCTAAAACTGTAAATATACTTATGTAAAAAAAATCAGAAGAATTATACAATGCAAGTGTAAAGCTTATTTTAGAACCTCATTCATCCTCAGCACTAAGCCTAACTATTTAGATACAGAAAATTAAATAACAAATTACTAAGTTTAGTTACACTTATATTTTTTTAAAAATAAAATAATAACTTATTGCATTTTTTTTTTGTTGACTACTTCTTGTTTAAGTAATAATGAATGTGAGACATGAAACTTACAAAAATAAAATTAGCTAATAGTATGCATAGGATTGTGCATTTTTAAAACAAAATTAGTTCACAAAAATTATAAAGAAATAAACTATTATAAACATTGAAGGAGATCAGCATAAGGTGTGTGAGGAAGAGCAACACTTCGAATAGTATTGAAAAAGGCTTGCTTCTGTTCATCACTTTGTAACTAAAAAAATAAAATAAAAGTTAATATTTTACTTTTATTCAACATAATTTCAAAATAAAATGCAAGGATACCTACATGTGTAGTTTAAATATAATACAATCAGATCCACTTATAATGATTACTATTTACATGTTCACATAAATCTTTACTTATAAAATATACAACTTCATAATTTTATTTTAAGTAAAAAATTATCTGTGATAAATTCTCTTTTACCTGAATCATATTTTGTATGAATAAGACCTTTTATAGATGTTTAACATAGATCAAAATTGGTATATCATTATATTTAATTATTTTTCAGAAATAAATAAATTCAATTCTGTATTGAAGAATTTTTTATAAACAAAAAAGAAAGCATGTCTGCTTTTTTCACCTAATTTCTGTCACTTATATATATTATCATATGTTCCTTCATAAAGATGTATTAAAATTATGTAATGCATTTAATTTTAAATAGTTTGTATTTAAATGTCTTGATTCTTCAACACTGTTAAAGAATGATATTATATCAAACTTGATCATCAACCCTCTGTTTGTTTTATTTAAAATAAAACATAAAATTTTTTACTTGCAAAAATGTCAATGTTGAAGTGGGGAACCATTTAAGAATCTTACCAAAGTTATTGAGGCATCTGATCTATCACTTGTTGTTTCAGAATTTTTTTTAAGCTCCTGACTGATTTTATGAAGTATAAAAAACTTGATTAATTACCTACCTTTTTCAATCTTGAAATTTTGTTAGGGTGATTGTTTACTTATTTTTAGAAAGAGCAGTAATAAATCAAATCTTATATGATGAGGATTTGTTATTTCAAAATTCTCAAATACTACCTTATACAGTTTTTTTCACTTAAATTCCATTTTACTATAATTAACAATTCAAATTACACAGAATTTTGAAAATGGCAAACTGAAGGATTGTTTATTAGTTAACTATTTTATAACAAAGTTATGTTTCTGAAGCTTTATGTTACCATGCTAAGTTCAGTTTCTTTTTTCAAAACTGCTGTAGCATATCTGTGTTATTAAAATCTCAAATAAGTAAGAAAAGCTTAATTAAAGAGGTAGTCAACAGAATAAGAGTGTTGCAGTTAAAAACAATTACAGTGTAACGTCCCATATCCGGACGTCCCTTTTCCGGAAGGGTCGATTTCCAGGACACTTTTTAACAATCAAAATAAACAAACATTTCTTCATCTTCCCCTCTCCTTTAAAAAAAAAAAAAAAGTCTTTTGACAGGTTTTTCCCCTTCTCAGCTTCTAGAGATCTATGCATTGAACCCATAAATCAACAGAAAAGAGAACAGAAGATCTACTAAGACCATGAGGCTCCTCCTCTGGAATGCAGGAAAAGGGGGGGGGTTGTTTTCAAAAGAGCACAACTGAGTCCCCTCCCTCCCCCTTCTTTCCTATGCAGCTGGCTAGTAAAAGAGGCATTTCCTGGAACCTTTTTGAATGTTAAAGTGGAGGGGGAATCCCCTTTAGTCACACAAGAAAAAATAAAGAGAACCCAATTAGCATGCCACGCCTTTATGCTTGATTGATAGCCAATGATGGGAGAGAAAATAAGAATTTGTCACTACCCCGCCCTCAACTTGAATGACAAGTAAGGAGGAAATGAATTTTTCTTCTCCACCTACCCACCTTATTGAATGACGGGAATTTCCCCTTCTTGCTTGAATCGTTCTAGTTCAAAATGGTGGAGAGAGCAATTAATATTTTCATAACTGGGAATTTTTTTCGTTTTCTATATTTATTTTTAGAATAGCAATAATTATTTTTTTTCTAATATTTTGTTTATGATTGATTAGATATCATTCTAATACTAAAACATTATTGCCCGAAAAATAATGTTTATTTATTTTCTGCTTCTTAGATTCAGATCATTTTAAGTTTTGTTTACCTTTGAGGTCAATTATACGGAAAAATCGATTATACGGACTTCGGAAAGTCCCGCCGATTCCGGATACGCGACTTTCCACTGTATTCCCTTTAGGAAATCTAATGGAATCAATAAGAAGGCAGGGAAACCAACTGCTCCGCTCTCAAGGAGAGAAAGTGGTAGAGAGAGCTACATACTAAAATTTGCAGAATTTTGTCAACATTTTAAAATGTTCTCCGCAAACTAACAATAACAAAGTGGTGTTTTATATGAGCTTTTGAATTATTTAAAAGTAGTAGTGATTAAAAAATTTTAAATTTGGTTTCTTACACAAAGAATCATATATTAAAATATAAAATTTGCTACCACTAGAAAACATTTCCCCACAAAGTGGAGTAAGCATGCATCTTTGAGAAAGGGTTACAGTGTGTTCAATAACGATCCCCTTGATACCTTCATTTGAATCTACGATATAGATTTTTAGAAACTATGCACATTTGAAATACAAATTTGGAAGAAAATAAAACATTTTTTTTCAACCATGACTAATCATTTATTGTGAACCAAACATAACAAGAGGAAGAAAAAAAAAACCATAATAAAAAGTGTTAGAAAATTTATACAATAGTTTCTCAGAAAAATTATATAAATTTTTAAGTGGGATAGAATATCAGGCACTCCATAATTTTCTGATTGTTATTTATAACTTATTAGATCTTTATGACAGTGATTTTTATTTTTTAAAAAAGGGTGAAATTTACTTGATTTCTAAAGTTGACACCAGCGATACAGAAGAGTATTTTATCTTCTTCTTCCATTTTCCCCATCCTATTTTGTACATGAGGAAATCTATTTATAATATTAAGGTTTATAGCAAAAAGGTTTTACAACATGTCTGCTAAAAATAATGCTCTTCTCCGCTTTACTTTTTCAAAATGGATAATTACACTGTCATAAATAAAATAGCTTTTCAGGTGAAAGTTCACAATTCTGAAGTTAAACACCAACATCACTTTTAAAAAGCAGATTCGCTTGTGTTAAAAAATAAAGGTGCTCTAATATAATGAAATACGTGTATTATATATATTTTATTATATTAATTTAATATTGTCATTATATATTTATTCACGTCATGCCCCTAACTTAGCTTATCCAAAATAAAATAATGAGTAAGTAATTAAACAGGTTTTCAGAGACTCTTAAGTTTAGAAACTTCCCCCAAAAAAATTTAAGATATGATTGGAGAGTCCAAAGCAGAGTGATTGGAGAGTAATGTGTTGATTGTATTCAATTGTATAATAATATATGTACAGTACGCAGAATAAAACATGGAACATCTTAATAACTTTTGATCTAACAATGAGATTGTCACTTATTAAGATACAGTTCTAAATATTTCAAGGCAATAAACTTAAATATGCTTATTAATTTGTGCAGATAATATTAAAAGTTATGAAGACACACAAAGGTACCTAGTCTGATTAAAAATGGTTTTTTCCCTCTCGGATTTGGATTCATAACCCACGAAATATATCGTGGGGGGGGGGGTATTGAAAATATGGTTTCATAGATTGGGCAAAAGTTAGACTTTGAAAAATTCACCTTAAGTGTAGAACTATTTGAAAAATTAAGAATTTTTTGCACATAATTATAAAACTCGTTCATTCAATGATAATTCTATGCAAAAAAAATATAACTATTCATTAACTTTTATTATTTAATTTAGTAATGGTCAAAACATTTATATGATATGCAAAGTTTGTCACAAATTTGAATAATGTTATTTTTAATGACAGTATACAAAATTTCAGCAAAATAGTTGAGTAAGGAAATTTCAAAAAATTTGTATTTTAAATATTTAAATTCTGAATTGAACCAAACTAATCAAGCCCAAACTTTCATCCGTCCTCCTGCTTTAACTAATGGAATCACGCTTTCTAATTTTCAGCTACCTCAAAATCAAGTCTGTTTAGAAATAATTAGAGAAAGTACGGTTTCGGTTCTAATTAGATAACTTAGATCGTTTGCTTAAATTTATTAGCATATTTCAGTTAAATTACCTGACATATTAAGATTGTATCTTAATATATGATAACCTAATTGTTAGATCAGAAGTTATTAAGGTGTTCTATTTTTTATTTTGCACACTTTACCTAGTTTTAAATTTTTCCAGACAATGTGAACATAATACAAAAAAAAATGCAGCAAATTCATCAGTTTGCTTTATTTGTGAATAGCATATTGAATTGAATAATCATTAACTTAACTCTTGGAAGCATAAAATTTGTTCGGAGCTATTTTTAAAGGATACAATGCTTGAAACCAATGATTAGCTGTTGCACTTATAAGGAAACAACTGAGACTCCAAACTGCTATAGACAGAGGTGATCGCTGCATAAAATTTGATAGTGATAATAAAACCCATTCATGCACTATTTCTTCCTGTGATTGCTTATGAAGATATTGAAAAACCTAGGAAAGTTTAAATAAATAAATATGAATGTTAAACCTCCATATAAATTGGTTGTAAATTACTGATGTTTATAAAACTTTTTTAATTTTTATATATTACTTTTATAAAACTGTTTAAATAAAGCAATAATATCAGTCATTATTAATAGCTAAGTATGAGAATATATGAAAATAATTGTCATTGATATAAAAGGAAAGAACATTATATAACTTATTGTACTTTTAACTCCAAATGTAGTTGAGAGTTCTCTAAAAGTTTTGACTGAGGACAAAATTGCAAAGAATTTTTCCTTAAAATGAGTTTCTTTTTACATAAAAATGATAAAAATGAATATATTATTTTTTTAATTTTTAAAGAAAAGTAATTTGCTTAATGCTCAGAAAGAAGCAAGATCAAAATACTCAGAAGTTAAATAATCAGCTGTTTAGAGGCCTCATCATCTTGTACTACAGGTTTAACTTTTTTAAATATTTTACTCAATTTTTTTTTTTGGTCTTGTCAAACATATGGTGATAAAGTTTTTTCCAACAATCCAGTACCTTTGTTATATTAAATGTTTTGATCTTTAAATGCTTCTAGTTATTAAATGTCTCGTAAAAATTTATGAAAAAGGAAATTATTGATTTCTCTAAAGCAATGTATTAAACGTGAGCATATATGATATTTTTAAGATAGAAAATAAATTTTTCTTTCAACAATAAATGTATTAATGTTACCTCAAAAATTACTTTAGCCATGATTTGAGAATGTGGCTGTTGACTAGACAAAAATTCTGTTATGATTTTATTCAGAACTTCCTGTACTGGGAAAAATTCCATCAGGAAGCTAGGCAATATCTCACATATAATGTCTGCTTCAAAAGGATAGGCTTTTTTTACTCTGTCAAAGAAAAAATACAAATGTATTAAATAAATGAATAAAACATTTTAACACGTTTTCTCATTTTTAAATAAAATGGTTCATACTTGATATTTTTCAGTACTGTAGTAGATATACAAGAGAAAACATAATTTTAACATGAGAACATCCCTTTATAGGGAAAATTTTGAAAAGAATTCCCTGCTCAAGGGAAATGTTACCAATATTTATAATTATTACAAAAATAATATTAAGACTTTTTGATTTTTCCTGTCAATGCAAGAGTTTTTCCTCTAGCAGTTGCTTGTCTGAGAATTTTTCCCTAAATATGGTTCACTTGAACCATTTCTATGACACTATAAAATGTAGAAAACCAACAAATATGTAGAAGGTACTTGAGTAGAACCATGACCATGTTGATTGCTAATGTTTTTACTTAATTAAGAAGTGCTATCAGTTAAAATAAATAGATTTTTTTTTAAACAAAGCTGGTTAAAACCAACAGTGAAAGTTAAACCCTTCATACAATCAAAACATTTGACTCTTAAAAATCATTTTCATAGTTCTTTATTTTCCTAAAATACTGGAACAATTCATGAGACATTTATACTTCAGTTTTAAACAGCAGCTATAAATGTTTAAATATCATAGAAAACTGGAGTCTGGATTTGTCGATATCTGAGTAAATATTCAGGAAAATTTTTATGAAAGCTTAGAGGCAGAGTGATAAGTAAAGCTTGAACTTATTTTTTTATGTGATAAAAATGCAACTGGTTAAATATTAAAACGTTTGATATATTACTATGAAAACATTAAATAAATATTAAAAAATTGTACCAACATTAAAAAGTGATGCATATACAACTCTTTGTTTTGTGTACAGCATTACCTTTGACTAGTAAATCTAAGAAGATAGATTAAATGTAAAAAAAAAAGAAGAAGTTATCATTGTAACAAGTTCTGTAACAACAACGAAACTCGGATAATTAATTTTAAAAAAATAAATAAAATTTCAAACAAATATTAAAATATAACAAATAACAATAATTTAAGTTTCCTGAGTATCTTTGTGATTAAAAATATGTTGAAAAAAATATTTTTTTTGCTGTCATAGTTTTTTAATCTTGTATAAGTACTAAGGAAAAAGCATTTCCATCATTGTGCAATTAAAAATAATATTACATATTTTCAGTTTTTAATTTCACATGAAAATTAAAATTAGAAAAACCCATTGATACCTATCAAATAGTGTTGTAACACGCTCCATAGCAACAAGCAAAAATTCAGCATCTATCTGTCTCGCAGCAGTTTGTGTTTTTTCTGTAATCTTAGAAGTGTCAGGAACCAGTTCATTCGACCACATATTTGTACTTTTGCCTAAAATATTTAATGCAAAATTCTTACAATTTTCAAAACAATAACTTAAATGTTCACTTAAAAGATAAATTATCAAAGGACTATAAATAGAACTTATTTTTGAACAAAAATGTTTTTAACATAATAATTTAAAATAGAAAATGTAAGTTTAATTAAAACTACACAAAAAGAGCATAAATAATGGAACACAAACAGACATACTATAGTTTAAGATTTATATTGATAATTTTTCTCTTATGCTAAAACACAAAATGGAAGAAGTACATAGATTAAGCAGAAAATTACAAACCATTTACAACAAAGTAAAAAGGAGGTTCACGTGTTACAAGATGTTGATATTGAAAAAAAAGATTACCATACATGCGGAAAGAATGGAATAGTAGAAAGGCTATTAATTGAATTATTAAAAGTTTTCAAAATATGAAATGATTCTCAGAAATTGAGCTATGGAGCAGTGCTGAATGACATAATATTGTCTTCGAACAATAAATCCCATTCCTACATTCAGGAAGTTATTCCCTCAATGTAGTTTCCATTTTACTGTCAACTTACAGGAGGCCTGATATCATGTGTGGCATTAAAAGATGAACAAAAACTTGATTTTTCACTGCTGATTCTCTTAGACTGTTAAGAATGATTGCACATGAAAATTTCTTTAATTAAAATTCAGACATACAAATGAGAACCTGATTAATGAAATATATTTACTCACAAAAACTTCCCCAATCAGGTTTTTGTTCTGAATTTGCATAGGCGATTTTTTCAAGTGCAGAGTGAATGGCCCTGCATCATGGGGTGAAGACAAGTATGAGCCAGGCTAGGAATCAGGCGTGCGATGACTGGCTTTTTCCCCCTATCCTTACAAGATGGAGTTCTTAACTTCAGGAATGGTGAAAATTTGACAAGCCTTTTGTCAGAGCCATGGTAGCGGAGATAGCACTCGCCTCCCAATGAGGTGAACTGGGTTCGAATCCCAACAATGGCTGGTCGATTCGAATTCTGTACCAACCACAGTGCTGATGTAAAATATGCTCAGTGACAGACGGATCATGGTTCAGAGTCCCCTTGATGTCAGGCTAACTGTGTGAAGTTCTCATGGTTTTTCACTCCATGTAACACATATGCGGGTTAGTTCCATGAAAAAGTTCTCCAGGAAGGCAAATTTCTCCTTATACTTTCCAGAAGTTCCCTTGTCTTCTGCATTGGGCTCAAAATTGGAAGGCTATGGCATTAAAAATTGGTAGTCTTAAACCCTAAATTAGGTCAGCTGTTCAATGACGGTTATAAAAAGCAAATTGTTATGATTGTGAAGTCTGAAGACTGCTTTAAAATATCCATTTTTGGTCTCCATGTAGAAAGGGTGACATTTTAGGAGACTAGAACAAAATCCGAAAGATGAAGATGCCAGAAGATGAAGACAAAATATGGAGCATCCAAGAGCTACAACCACATGGCAAATTCAGTGGTATACTTGGCTGCCAGAAAACCAGGTACCGTATTTTTTGGCGGAAGAGCCGCGGCGCTATCGAAAAAAAGATGTTTTTTTCCTACATGCGGCACTTCCGATGCAGCGGCGTTTCCGACGAAATATTTTTTAGTAGCAAAAAAATTTGTCAATGAAAGCTTTATTAATTTTCTGAGAGAAAGACTATTAAAAAAAATTAATAACGAAGTTGACGAAATATTCGCCCGTATCGCGATCTGCTGCAGAACATCGCCAATTCTTAGCAAACTTTCGGCAGCAGCCAGTAAGAAAATAAATAAACGAAATAATAATTTTAAAAAAAACATCGCATAAGGAGAAAATTTAAAAGGTATGCATCTTGTATCCACCCCCAGCTTAAGAAAAAATCGCAAGCTGGAAATCTATTTAGCGCCTTGGCAATTGCAATTTGAGCGAACAGAAAAGGAAGAAAAGGACCCTAAATCCGACACTCACGGGACTGACGAAATGCCGAACTTCGGATCTCTTTTGGAAATTCCAATATGGCCCCCAAATATTACTATAATTCAATTCCACTGTTAATTTCAGAAAAACCAATAAATGTAGTCAAGTTTTGATCGTAGATTATGATGGGGTGAATTTAAAACTGGCACATCTTAAGATAAATTTTACTAATCAAAATAATAATCTATATTATATAATCAAGAAGAAATAATCAGAATCCTATGAAGAAGAAATAATCGTTTCTTCTTTGGAGCGAGATCATAGTTCTAGTTTTTTTCTTTTAGATAACATTTTGTTTTAACAAAAGACGCTTACCTCGCAAGAAAAGAAAAAAAAAAGCTAACAGCTAACACAAAAAATTTTTTTTTTAACAATTAATGCTAAGAAACTAACAATGAATAACAACAAAAAACAAGCTAAAAACTAATAACGATAAAAAAAAACAAGCAAGCAACAATTAACAAGAAAAAATAAAAAGCGGCAAAATATAAAAAATTTATTAATCGAATAAGAAACCGCAAAAGGAATAACATTCATTTTGTTGTCCACATTGTAGTTTCAATGTCAACTGGGTGTGGCCAATTTATAGTCAAACAGAGGAGGGAAATTTGGGGGCAAATCAGTAAAGTGCAAGCACAGCTGTCAAGATTGATTGATCAGTTTTTTTCAACTTCCATTTCTTTATTTTGTTCATTGGAAATGCAGGTGTTTTTACTTCTCACTTTATTTTAAACTGCTTTAGAAACAGATGTTTCCTTTGACACAAATTTTTTTTCAAGCTTCTTTTTTATTTTTAAAAGATAAAATAAAATAAGTTACTATAACAGAATAAAATTTCAAATAAAAAGAATATAGCTGATTTTTTTTCGTCTTATCAATATAAATTTCTTTAAAAAAAAAAAAAAATTAGATTAGATCAGATTAAGTGCCGAATTTTGGAATGCTGGATTAGGAGTCCCATACCCTCTTCTTTTCCCCAACCCCTTTAAAATATAACTGATTGATTCCTCCTAAACAGCTCCAATAGAAATGACACGTGGAGGAGGTGGGGTACACCCCTCTTTTAAACATTTTCTTCTCTCTTTCTAAGTTGAGTCACATTGGGTTATTTCCATTGAAGGAGAGGGCATTCTACCCACTAAAATTCCACCCTCAAAGATTGTGAAAGTGAAACTTATTTCCCCTTCGCTCATTCCTTCAGAATTTTCTTGGGGCCTGCTTAGTTATTTCTTATTTTGTTATTATTAGCTGTTTCTTTATTATGTAATAGTTTTTCCTCAAATTGTTAACGGTAATAAATTTTAAAATCTTTCTTTTAATAAATTTTTATTTTATTTTTCTTATGACATTGTTCTACGGATTTCTGTAATCAGTTCAGCCTTACTAATTCAGCTACTGAACATATAAACATTTTTTTGCTGTTCTTCTGTTTTTCGGTGCGGTGCCAACTGGTAAGAACAACTTTATTTTATATAGTTTTGTTGTTTTCTTTTTTTCCTTCTTTTTTTTCTGAAAGAGAAAACTTTTTTTGTTGCTTTTTTTTCTGCTGAAAAAGAAATTTTTTATTATAATTTAGAAGTTAAAACTTTACTTTATGAAACGCATAAAAAAATTTTATATTTTATTATACAGATATTCTAAATGGTAATTTGAAGGTCTCTTCTAAAAGGATGCTGATATACGCGGTTTAGCGCCATTGCGGCGCTTACTATAACTTTTTTTTAAAAAATTTCATTTTTATCGGGGTGCGGCGCTTTCGCCGAAAAATACGGTAAGTCTTCAGCACCAATTAAATAATTTACAGCTTAAACTAAGAACCAAAAAAATTTAAATAATAAAAGAAAATAATCAACAAAGTGAAAGAATGTTTTTAATGCAAAATAGTGGCTTAAAATCATTGCAGTTACACAATATACTTACTTAAAAAACAATATAAATAAAGGTGCAGAAATCAATATACTGTAGCACAGTTCTATGACCAAGAACTTTTCTTAGTGTCTGAACACGAAATGAGAATAGAAATGTAAAGAAATAAACATGTTACAATAAGAAATAAAGTGGGTCAATCAGTAGGGGAAGAGAAACAAGTTTAAACAATATAATAAAGAAAGGGAGATAAGAAAAGTGTGGCTAGGGTGAGAACCTTAGGATGCAAGATGTAGAAACTAAATTAGAAATTTCCAAATATTAGGAACGAATGGAATACTAAGAAGATCAGTAACTAAGCTATCAGAATTTTGCAGAACAAAGAACAATTTTCCAGAAGCCAAAGTCTAGAAAGTAGATGAAGAGCAGTTTTGAATGATTTTAGAAGAAAACTCAAACCTATGTTTAGAATCGAAATTATGTAAGGTCGGAAGGTAATTTAATACAGTCGAATCCCATTTTTGCAAAATTCGAAATAGCGAAAATTTCAAAGTAACGAATATTTTCCGAATCCCCAAATGTATTTCCATGTGAACAATGTATAAAAAATACCGATATTACGAAATCAATTACCCGATTTTGCGAAGGCGAAAATGAACACCAGGTCTTATTTTCTTTGATGAACAAGACACATTTCTTCAAAAATGTTCTCAGAAATGAAATGTTTTATCACCCTTAAAATACTAATAAGTTTCAAATGTGAAAAACCTGTCAAAAAAAGAAGAATCACTGGAAAGAGACCACCCTGAGTTGACCCTTGCATTGATTCATTCATGTTTTAAGAAGTCAAAATATACATGCTTTTAAAAGAGGGAATTCTATTCAATAGAAAGGGCTTGTCAAGAATGATAGATTAGAAGTGACCACCCTTAGCAGAACAATTCCATTCTTGAATTACAACTGACTAAATAGGGGGGGGGGAGAGCTGTTCTAAAAGCGCAAGGTGTAAAAGGGGTGTAAACAAGTTTCAGAAAATTATCAGAGTGGTGTGCAACTTCAATAGGAGAAGGTTAGTTAAATCAGTTTGTCTGCTTTCAACGTTTGCAAGCATTTTGTTTTCCTTCTTAAGAGCATAATGAGTGGTTAAAAGCGTAAACAATTTTCCATTAAGGAAAAACTTTAAATTATTTCAGAAGTTAATCATGGGATAAAAAAAGCTGACGTTGGACAAAGTATGGACTATCCCCATCTACTCTATCTACTTTTTTAAAAAATCGAACGAAGTTGGAACAGCAAGTGCAATCAGCATTGATCGGATCACATAGAAAAAATATACGACTTTCAAATTTTCAAGATGTAGATGCAGCTGTTTTTACATGGTTCCAGGATATTCGCTCCCGTAACATTCCAATTTCCGGGCCCCTCATTCGTGAAAAGGCTTTAGAATTTGCAAGAACTTTTGGAAACGAAAATTTTCAAGCAAGTGTTGGTTGGTTGAATCGATTCAAGGAACGTTATGGTATTGTTGCAAAGCAATTTTGTGGTGAAGCCAACTCTGTTGATTTAAGAGCTGTGAATGACTGGAAATCAGAAAAAATATCGGATGCAATTAGGTCTTATGATCCTTCTGATGTTTTCAACGCAGACGAAGCGGTAATTTTTTTCCAGTTGTTACCAAACAAAACCTTGGCATTTAAAAAGGATAAATGCATTGGAGGCAAAAATTCAAAACTGCGTTTAACTGCTTTGCTGCAATATGTCAGGCACTGAAAAGAGAAAAGTTATGGCTATCGGCAAATCTGCCAAAACTAGGTGTCTAAAAAATGTAAATTCACTACCTTGTGATTATAGATCTAGCCGCAAAGCGTGATGACTACTGGAATATTTAATGAGTGGTTGGTTAAGTTTGATGAAGATATCAAACGTAAGAAAAGAAAAATTCTGCTTCTTATTGATAATTGTTCACCCCACAATGAGCCACCGAAATTGGAATGTATTCACATCGAATACTTTCCTCCTAATTGTACGTCAATTTTACAACCTCTTGACCAGTGTATAATTAAAGTGGTAAAAGGAAAGTATCGAACACAACTTCTGAGGCGTATGCTTGTGCAAATCGGAAACAAAGAAGCAATTACGAAACCAGATGTAAAGCAAGCGATGGATATGATTGCTGGAGCATGGAAAGACATTAGCCAAAAAGTCGTCTGTAATGGATGGAAGAAAGCAAATTTAATTTCGGCAATCGACAATGAAACAGTCGATCAAATTAATGATGTTATCATCGATTTGCAGCCTTTATGGTAACATGTGACAAAAGAAACATCAGTGCCAAACGAAGTCAGTCTTGACAATTTTCTGACTGCAGATGATGATGCTAGAACATGCGAAGCATTGACGGACAATAATATTGTACGTATGATTCAAGAAAACAAACAAAAATCACTTTCGGACAGCAGCGATGATGAAGAATGTCCAGAAGAAAACAATGTACCTACAGCTTCACAAGCCTTGGCCAATTTGGAAGCTGTAAAGAAATATTTATCGGCACAAAAAAACTTTTCAGATACTTTGTTTGAACATGTGCATAATTTGGAAATTTTTTTTAATTTCTACTGGTTCTAAATAATTTGTTCAGAAAAAAATTACTGATTATGTATCTGCCTAATTAGTAAGTGTTAATAAATTCATTGTTTACATTAGTTTGGTGCGCTTTTTTAATATTACATTGATATTTTCCCAAATCTAGATTAAAAAATATAATATCAAAACTATAAATTGATTTTTCATACGAATAGTAATTCCAATGTAACGAAATAATATTTGTTAATGTTGAAAATTCGTAATATCGGTGTAACGAATTTTCATTATTGCGTAGAAATAGCTTCGGTCCCATGGAATTCGTTAAAACGGGATCCGACTGTATATACTGATTTTTGTTATATTTGTCAACACTTTAAAATTTCACAAAATATTATGATATATTTTAGAACTTCAAAGAAGCAAAAAAACCATCATAAATGTATCAACTCTAAAATCTATTTAATAGGTTACTTCCTGCAGTTAAAATATCACACTTTTTCTATTGCTATGAAAAGCTAAGCAATAACAAATTAATATGTTACAGCTGATAGTGTAAAAAATGGAATCATCATTTGAATTTTATCGATATTCCCTTAGAACGGACTTTCATTAGGGCGTATTCTGTTACACTGAAAGAATACGGTTGCATTTCACATTTTGTGATGCATTCCGAAAAAACACCTTCATGCTCATTCACTGAAGTCAAAACACATTATGATAAACAAAACATTTGCACCTGATGTCATAACACAAATGTCATACTCCTCATTTTTCTTTTAGTAGAAACAACTGCTAGCCCCCATCCTAAAAATAAATTTTATGGACTCGAGACATATTTTCAAATACAGAAAAATTTGCCACCGACACTGAATATAGAAATAAATGCCACCGACTCTGAAACAATAGAGAAGCAACTGCCACCAATTCTAAAACAATATTTAATATACAAACAACCGCCGCCGACTTTTAACTATTTAATAAAGATGCAACTGACGCCGCAATCATAAAAACTCTACACATTTTAAAATATTTCAATATAGAAAAAACTGCCGGTGTATCCATAACTTGAAAATCGTTATGGCTATCACACTTTAAAAAGAGAAAGGAAAAAAATGCTGCAGATATTTTAGTATAGAAACAATTGCCATCACAGTCTTTGCCCTCAAGCAGTAGCTCTACTCCAAATGAAAATGCATGACACCTCAATTAACAGGCGACACCAAATGAAAATTCAGCTGCCCAACTATTTGGCCAACTTAGAGGTTGGGCAGCTCCAAAGAGCATGATACATCAACCAGAGGTCTATTGTACCAGTCAGCTGAAGTTGCTGAAAAGTTTCATCAGAATTCCAAGTCCATATTCTCTGGTTTTTTAGTCCGATCTCTGGTTTATTGATTTCCGAACATCTAACATTTTCGCCTCTTTCTTAAAACCAACAATCAAGTTAACATTCCCCATATGTTCACTTTTTAATCTTACTTTTCCAGTACTTTCACTTTTGGGCTAATGTATAACACTGTAACAAAACACAAAAATATTATTAAAAAAAAGATTTGCAAATTAAATGACAAATTTCCCAAATTTATAAGTGAAAAAATACTAAAAATCTTTACCTATATACATGCATGAAAGAAAAAAACCTAAGGCAGCCAAAGAAGTAATAGGCGTTCCACTTCGTATCCTAAAAGAAGTTAAATTTAATTAACTTTAATTCATATATACCTTAAAAACACTTAAAAAAAATAGCAATCTTTTTTAATATTGAATTAATGGTATTTAACTAGTCTAATGATAACTTTTAGCACAACTGTTTAAAAATATATTTTAACAATAAAACAAACTTTTATGCTTTGTAATTAAATATAACAGTGAAAATGCTTTTTTTTAGATAAATCTCCCAACGCTAAATAAGGAGCAAACTACAGACTTAAACAGTTTTCTGACAACATTTCTATATAACATAAACAAGGATAGCCCTGAGTTCATCGTCATTTAGAATTTAGTTACAGCAATTTATTACAGAAATTGAATTATGTTTGATGGAATGTTGAGTTTCATAACAAAAGAAACATAATTGGTTATATTGATCGCAGCTTAAACCACATTACGCACTGAAGATAACAAAATCAAAAAGTACTAGCAATTTAGTCTGACAGAGATGAAAGATAGATCAGTAGGAAGCCTTAGGGCCCCTAGAACCTGTGTTTATGTGAAAAAGATAAACATCTTGAGGAAATGTAGTCTAGAAAAATATGTTGGAGAACTTATTCCCCCTGAGTTTTCGCTTAATTAATTATTTTCATATTTTAAGTGTTTTAAACAATGATGGTTAGAAAGCTTACTTAATATGCTCTTGTTCACATTAGTAACAGTCGAAGAAAAACTAATAAAACCGATTTTCTAATTAATAAAGCATAGTAGATGGTTGCAGAGTTCTAATAAAACAGGTAGAAGATGTTATTAAGACATGTCATTAACATTATTTTTTAATGGGGCACATAGGATTTCTAATAATTATTTTAGCATGTTAAAATAAATATCATTAATGGATTATATTTAATGTTTCTGTTTTTGCATACTCAAGCCCAGGGAAGAAAAAAAAAAGAGTTTAAAATCATAACAGTAAAATATAAAGATACTGCAAAAGAAACAAATATTAAGCACATCCTAAACATAAAAAGCCTTATTAGATATCAGTTTAAATTCATGCAAATCATAATAAATAATTTGAGTGTAATGAGGATAGTATGGCATCCCTTATTTTTAAAAAATCCTTGAAATGACCAACAATTACTGTTTAGTTGCATTTGATAATAATATTTTATGCTTTAGTTAATGATAAATGACAAATTTTTAACTAATACAAAATTTATAAATTAAATTTAAAACGTATCATTCTAATATTCAACTGTTAGCAAAAATATAGTTCCAAGTATATATTTTAAATTGTTTTATATAATAACAATTTACATCACAACATTATTTTTTCATACATTAATAATTTTTAAAGACAAATAACACTTCACGGGTATCAATAGCATGGATACTTTCAATTTAACCTTCTTAGGACATTAAAAATTAGATTTAAAAATCAACTAAACTATTATAAAATATTTAAAACTCTATAATTTAGTTATCAATAAAATGTGCTCATTTCATTAATGGACCAAAAAATTTGATACTTTTAATTCATTTCTAAGTTTTATTATAACACTCATTGTAAATATTTACTACACACACCAAAAAATAAGCGTACAATTTTATTTTTTTTTCGATATAAAATATTCTTAATAACATTTAATGTTCATATAAAGATTATGATACCATCTAGAATCTTAGATAACAAAGGGTTTTTACCTATCAACAGTTAATTTAAGCAAAACATTTGCTTCTTTCCCAGTTAAAATTTCAGCTACTAAAAGACGTTCTAAACCATGGAGAACAGTTAAATACACAGAACTTGAACAACAGTCATCAGTGGATACACAGATATTATGGCAAATCTAAAAAGATAAGTAGTTATAAGAAATGCAAAAGTTTAAACCTTATTTAAAGTATAAAAAAGTTGATATTTAATTGAATAATTGCTAAAATTTATATTAAATAAAATATTAACTAAGAAAATAAATATTTCAATATGTCACATGTCTTAAAGACTATGTAAAAACTAAATGCAACAAGGCATTCTTTATTAGGCGAGGAATTTCTTTAATGAATACTTAGGGACAATAAACAAAAAAAATCTAGTCTCAACTAAACTTATTTAAAACTCCTTTATTAATACCATTATTTTACCAACATTAAACATGAAGGTATTTAATTCACTCCTCATAATTTTCAGGGGTAACAAACATCTGCTGATAATTTGTCTCAAGTATTTGCCATCATCATCTTCTGAATGTAAAAGTGCGGTACTTCATTAATAATGTATAAATTAAGTAGCAACTTTTTAGTCAGATTAAATATTGTTAAAAATTACTACAAGGAAATTAAAATAATATGAAAATTACATTGAAAATTTACAGGAAAATTCAATATTTATGAGATAAACCCTTAAAAATCAGACATATCAAATTCAGAATATTCCTTAATGCAACACTTTACATGGAAGAATAAAAAAATTTTATTTCTACTACTTTCTAAGAGAGCAATATTGCTTCATTCCAATTTTCTTGCTTAAATAGCATGATTATTAACTCCCATTCATAGTGTTTTTTTAAAATTTATTTTCTGTAATTATTAGGGCGGACTTGAGTGAAATTGTTACAGTTAAAAAAAGTAAATTCATGCATTTTAGGACAATGAATATTTTCTTCATATTTTTTGTGTTACTAAAAATGCTGATTAAAGACTCCCTCCCAAATTCTCTCAGAAATAATCAATGTATACAAATTCTCATTTTTTTCCTTCTAAAAAAAAAGAGAGAAAATTTATGCTACAACCCTGAGCAATTTTTATTTTTTTACCCCTCAAGATAATTCTAAAGAAAAGCAATACCACTTTCAATTGTAAAGGTAATCCTTTTATCTCCCCTTCCCTCCTGAACAAGACAAAATTTTGTTATTCGCTTGCAGGTTGCTAAAGCATCATTAGATTTCTATCCAGCTTCGATGTATGTCAGATAAAATTGGTTCAGTTTGAACTTCTATGGTCTTTAATTAACAGGAGGATGCCTGTTCTGGGTTTATAGCTAGTTTATATTTGAGTGAAATAGAAAGAAAGCTTTCAAATGAGCTGGGATCATTCTTTTATATTTTACCTTAGAATTTCATTTTCAAATTTTTACTATAATACAACTATTTTAATTATTACAGTTTAAATTTAAAATTATTAAAATACAATTTAGACAAATTTATAGACAATAGGCAAATATTCATCAAACCAAAGAAAAAAAAAATGATTCAGTTGAGAAAGTATACAGTACTAAAATGTAAAATTTACAAACATGAAATGAATGGCAAAGATGAATGAATGATCTATTGAAATATCAAAGATAATGTATTATAAGTATAATAAGGATTAAATAAGTAAGTAAAAATTGTAACTCATTTTCAGAAAATTTCAACCAAATACATAATAAACAAGTACTCAATAAGTTAAAACAAGTAGTTTTGGGACAATAGAAAAAATCTGAAATCCATTAAAAAATCATAAAAATATATTCCAAAAGGAAAGAAATTTTCATGAAAATATAAATAATAGAAGGCATTTCTAAAACAGTATTTTTAATGGACCAGTATACTTCAGTAAACACTACTATGCTCCAGTTTTAAAAGAAAAAGGTTAACAAGAAATATAAATGAAAGGTCAGAAAGAAATTTTACCTCATAAATTTTTTGAGGAAATTCTTCTGCAGCAATATCTTCATGATAATTTTCCATTATATAAAATGTAACAGCCCATAACATCAAAACATGTTCTTCATTATCACAAAAAGGATTTTGCCTGAAAGAAAGATATATGCAGCTTAAAAAAATTCTAAAAGCAAATGTCTGTGATTTAAAAACTAAATAAGGTTATTAAAAGTATAGAAAAAGTAAGTTTTGTGTATATACATATATATACAGTGGGTTGTTTGGAAAGTAATTTCGTTTTTTCAAACAGAGGATTTCAACAAATTTCTTCGCAGCCAACATCATACTACAAGTCATATAATCATTATAAATTTTGAAAACTAATATAGGAAGACTTACTTGTTGGACTGATTCTATGTAGTAGTTTTTGGTTGGGGTCCCTTCAAATATAGAAAGAGAATAGCAGCATTTTTGGCACATTTAACTGCTTACTATCAAAAGGTAAAAATGCTGTTCAAGCAAGAAAAAATTACCCAATGCGTATGGATAAGATGTATTTACAATACAGCAGTGCAAAAACTGGCTTGCAAAATTTCAATTAAGAGGCGCGAAGATTCACTATGCCAATTTAGGCTGATGAAGCAAAATAAAGGCATTAAGGCTGGAAAGTTACTAACCCAACTTTGATGTTAATAATTAGATTAACATCAAGTGAGATTAATAATAATAAATTTATTGAGAAAGACAGTTTTGTATTTAATTTGTTATTTTAGGGCATATCTTTAAAAGTTGTTTAGAATAAATTTGAAAGGAAGTCAGATAATATCAACAGACAGCAAAACTAAAATTTTTATATCAAAACATTTTTTTTTCTTTGCAAAAAATAATAAATTTAGAATATTGAAAAATGGAATGAATGACTAGCACAACTCTTTTCAGGTTTTATATAATACACAGTTACTTATTGCTCCTAACTCTCAGGCAGCATTAATGGTTAATTTAATGTTACTGAATAAAAATAATGCAATAAATGATTATAATGTATGTATTTCATAAAAACTTACAAATTAGTATTTTCAAAATGTTTTAAAACATATTCTGTTGCTGTGGGCAAAATAGGAAAAGCATCATCACCCCCTCCTTGTTCCAATAAATATAAAATTCCATGTAAAGAAGAGATTCTAGTTGGAAGAAATGTGCTTTTCAAATTTAATTCTAGAAGTTTTTTTAATCGATCAAGTAAATCTTGTTCCTAAAAAAAAAGTTCAAATCACTACAAAATATTTAAGTCAACAAAATATATAACATCCTTAAATCACAAAAAAATCAATTAAATGTGTTGTTGAAAGAAATCTATTTTATATTAAAATTAATACTGCACACAATAAATAAAATGTTTAAAAGAGAGCATCAATTTACTAAGAAAAATAAATATGAAAATTACCTGTGTGCATAAAAATAGATATGGCTCCTGTAGCCAAAGATGTACATTATAGAATGCCTTTGCTTTTAGCAGCCAATTACAGAACAAGAGAAATCTAGTACCAACATGAAACTTTAAAATTTAATTTATAACAATTCAAATTAATTAAAATTTAATCTGAAATGCCATATTTTTTTTTTAAAAAATTAATTGATATAGCTTTTTCAATTGTATAATTTAATAATCATAGCTACTGCTTGGATTTAAACCTTATTAAAATTGAACTTATAATAAACTACAAATCACATAGATGTGACTAAGAATATTAAATAGTAAAACCCTATGTATATAGATATAATATAGCCTTGTATTTAATAATAGTAAAGATTAACTTTGATTATTATTGTAACTAAAATAAATGATTAACTCACATGTTTTGTATAAGTCAGGATCTGTCTAAAGATTTTTAATTAAACTTTTTTAAAGAATGTTTGTATACACTTACAACACCCAAAACTGCAGCAGCTTTGCAAATTCCAAAAATGAGATATTGAGCAATCATTTCATCTTCAGCAGGATGAATTCGTTGAACTTCTAAAAATGTATCAAGCATCCATTCAAACTGTGCTTTTTCCATGAAAATATCTGACAGCGCAACAACCTAAACACAAACATGAAAATTAGGAAAAACTACATTCATAGTATTCTGATTATAATTATGAGTACAATTTCAATAAGCAATTCCTACATAAAATATTAATATAAAATTTATAAAATAAATAAAACTATTCTTACTCTTATTTCAATAAGTAAAATATCATAAAATTCATTACAAATAAAAAAAATTACAATTTTTAATTTCAGTATCGCTTTGTTTAGAACAGAAATACTCCAGTTTCCAGAATAATTTTATTAATGCCGCCTATACCTTACGAAACTTGTTACTACATTGGCTGAAAATAAAAAATAAACATATGAACCAAGAATTCATCATCATAAATATTTTATGATGTAAAACAAACTATCATTCAATCTTAACTACGTGTATAAATAGTGAACGGTTCCCAAGTTGAAACTTTTGAACTGAGCGATTTTTACTAGCTTTTTAATTAAAATAAAAAGAAGTTGGATCAAAAATCCAAATGCTTTGATATTTCAAAAAAATTATTTTAAAAACCGCATTTGTGTTCATAAAAAATAGGGTGTTCAAAACATAAACAAAAATAAAAGGACAAAAAGCTAAGAATCAGAACAAATAAGGTCAATATATTTTTTGTCAGGAACATCCAGACAACAACAAAACTTATAATAAAAATGGTATATTGTAATTTAAATTAGATTGATTTAAAATTTATATCAACAACCAATTCAATAATTAGAAATTAATAAAATTTTATTGCTACTAAAATATGAAGCAATATTTTATCTGAAGATTCAATAATGCTTGAATAATTTTATAAAAATTCAATAACAATTTTACATGTATGTTGATTCATCTGACTATTGAGATAAGTGTATTATTATCCTACAGTATATGTATGAAAATCACAGCTATAAATCACAAATCAACACTGATTTTAAAATGTAAACAAATTGCAGTTAAATTACCAAAAATTATTCCAGCCCTTAAAAACTAAATTTTGCTTTTAAGAGCTAGTTTTTTAAAAACAGGCTGGTTTAAAACATGTACGTTCTCAAACATATAATTTTCAAGACTTCTTTAGATAAAATAATTTGAGAAATGCTTTTTTAATTTTTCAAAAAACAATTTCCTTATAAATTTTAAAAGATGTGACATATGAAACAAAACACATTGATTAAGATGTAATATTTTTGTGACAAAATTGTTTTCACTTTCATGATATTTGTACTTAATTTTACACTTACAGATTTTGTGACTTCAGTTAATAACATGAGAGGTGTGAAGGGGCATGTCTGAGGAGATAACCACTGACTGTAAAGATCAAGAAGAAAATGCAAACATGAATGGATATCTAATCCTCCATTAGATAAAGATTGTTCTCTTTGCTGAAAGCTTGCAACACCCCCGACATTTGTAGATATAGGACTAGAATTTGATGATGCTGATCCATCTGGGTCTTCATTATCTTCAACTAATCCAGCTGCAGCATTTAAATACTCCAAAGAAACCTACAATATACTAACATGTCAGATATAAAGTGTGAGATTTAAATTATTTAAACAATATCAAAAGTATTCAACATGGTATTCCGGTGTCTAAGCCAACTTGTTCAGCCCCTAAATTGCAATGGTTGCAAAGCAAAATTGTTCACTGATTGATGCTGGCAAACCGATGCTACTCCTGGAGCTCTTAACACGCAATCATCAAAGAAGCTAGAGCTAGAAAAATGATGTCAAGTTTCTACCACTAGGAACCTACCTGTAGTCTCGTGCTTTCAAACAGACTTTGCTAAGGAACAGCGATCTTCATTTTTCTTCCCAACTATCGAATGTCCTTTACCTAATAATTTGCTAGTAAAAGCGATTTGATCACTAGCTTCTTCAATATAATAGTTTTTAAAATTATTATAAAGATGTTGATAACTTCAGATGCATAATTAAGAAACATATTTTCACTTATTTTTCTGTTCATCTTACGAATCTTGCAAATGCAAAATAAGAGAAAAAGATATTTTTCCTCTTATATCTAAAAAACCGAAATAAACTGGAAGATATTTTTAGTGCCAACAGAAAGGAAAAATAATAAAAAGCAAAATTGGAAGCACTGACATACATGGCAGCATTGTCAGGGGGGTATTACCAAGCAGCTAGTGCAGGAGCAGCTTCAATGATTGGCGATATATTACCACAAACAATCAAACTGCTCTAAGACAAACAAACTAAACCAAACAGCAAATCAGACGAAGACTATATACCCTAACTCCGATAGTCAATGTACAAGTGCAACAATTTACCAGATGGAAAATAGAATTTAGAAAGTTGAAGGTTCAAGTATCAAATAAGTATGTGGATTCAAGAATGTGTAAAAAGATGAAAAAATAGAAATAAAAATTACAAATAAACACTAAATTAAACAAATATACCTTAAAATAATGAAAGAAAATAATTTAACCTTAATATAACGAAGGGAAATGCAGACAGGCACTGGATCATAATTCAAGGTAATCCTACCTAACCTTCAATGCTTGCGTGTCCCTTCTGTAATTTAAAGCTAGGCATTACTTTGCCTCGGAAGGCATTCCTCTACTCAGCTACCTGTCTATAAATCCAATCGGGATATTATGATCCAGGAGAAGTTTGCGTAAAGATGCACATGATGTACATATATTGTACATATACATACATATATTGTACACACATACATACTGTTCATAAATAAATCGTACATGCATGCATGGGACTTACATTCAACATGCATATGATGTAAATATATGCATACATATATTGCACACACATATATATATATATATAACCAGATTATTTTGTTTTAGATTTTACCAATAAAATTTTTAATAATCTTAACATAAATGCCATTATAGGTAAAAATAAAAACCTTCTTCCTATCCAACTTAATTGCAAACCAACTTTCAGATACACTAAGAGTCTAAAAAATTTAATCTGTAATTATAGGAATATAGCTACAGATAATTTCAACTATGTATGTAATTGTGATGATTTTAAAGATACTCCTTTTTTTGATAACTTCCATAAACACGTTATTACAGGGGATTTAGATATTATTGACAACGATAATATTAAAAAATTTATGTCTTTAGGTTCAAAATTTAGACCATCTTTTCCAACTTCAAAAAACAAAGTNTCTTTCTGCGAAAACATTTTTAAATCATTTTTGAAAAATATCCGTCCATGTAAGTTGTTCTGATTTTGCTACTCGCTTTATAGTCCCCCCTATTTAATGTTTTTTCTTTTTCTTTTATTTTATTATCTGTTTTTACTTGTTATTTTTACTTATTTTTAATTTTTGTGATCTATTTTATTTGTTGTTATTTTTATATATATTTTTTTATATATTGAGTGCTCCTCACACTATTGTATTAATATATTTTGCATTGGCTTTATTGATACAATATCAGAAAGCACTCTGTTTTACGGATATAATCGTGTGGGCTGAAGAAAAGATTCTATCTTTTTTTTTCCGGTTTTTTAATTAACATTTCATTTTTTTTTAAAAAACTGTTGTTTGTTGTTTTTTACTTATTATTTCCCACCCCCCTTTTTTTGATATGTCTATAATTTTTCCTTGTTTTATTCTTCATTTTGAACTTTGAATATATTCATTTTGAATATATATATATATACATATATATATATATATATTGTTCCTAAATAAATCGTACATACAAGCATGGGACATACATTGAACATGGGACGTATATTGAACATGTCTTTATCGTGCTTATGTACTCATTATATATACACATATAGTGTACATATATGCATATGTATTCTCCATAAATAAATTGTACATGCATCCATGGGACATTCATTAGTTGTGCATGCAAACATGGGATATACATAGATTGTAAATGAATGCATGAAACATACTTTAGCTGAATATACACATATAGGACATTAATAGACTGTACATAAATGCATGAGATATAAATATATTGTAGATAGATGAATGGGACATACATTATACAAACAATGTATGTATGTTTGTACAAACAACAAGTACCTGTATATATATATGTACACAAATAGGGATATACATTATTACATACACAAGTATTTGCATAAAATTGAAAAATGTAATCAATTGCATTTCTGCCCTACTCTGATGTAATAAAAAATTATGATAACCTGTAATTGTGATAACCTGTAATTGTGATTACCTGTAATTGTGATTACCTGTAATCGTGATTACAAGTAATTGATTACATAGCAGTAATTATCTGTAATCTATTACAGTTGTAATTGATTACTGTATTCGACACCCAACTCCTATGGTGTGTGTATGTATATATATGTGTGTGTTTATATATATACTTAAGAAGAGCTTTGTGCTCCTTCAAAAATTTCGTTCACACTATACCTATGGTCATCATAAAGGGTTAAAAATTTTACTTCTTTTTCTCAACAAGTGTAACATGTAAAATACTGGGTTGAATTATAATCAAGAAAATAGAGGTACTAAATAAAATTAAATAAAACTGCATATAAGGATAATCAAATCAGCAATTTTTAACATTATATCAATATTTAACACAATGAATAATTTGATTCCATTTTTCACAGTAAAAAAAAGTCAATTTATTTATTTACAATTTAATTAAATAATTTAAAAACATATGATTAACACTCGTAAGCCTAGCTAACTTTGGCAAGAGTCAGAAAAAAGCATTAATCCTCCCAATTTTAAATTTCAGCTACTTTATGAACTATAATAAAGTGGAATAAACATTCTAAGAAATAAAAGAATTTTATATTTGTATATAGCCGTTATATATAAGATCATATAGTCTAAATGATCTTAATGCTCCAATCTTAAATGAACTGTAGCTAATAAATAACATAAAAAATTCGACACAAAAAGAAGATAATATGTAATGACAATTGTTCTATCAGAAAAAATGAATTAATTGATAAACAGCCATTTTTATTATTTTTTTTAAATTTTAACTTAAACATTTTATATATTTTCATAAAAATTAAACACAAGTAAAAATCAAATATATTTCTGAAAATAATCCAAAAACATTTTCCAAAATATTGTCAGTGGCAAATATTTGTCTGCGGAATACTCTCCTTAGATATGCTTATTGTTTCATTTAAACCACTTATTAAATTATTTATAAACTTATTACTTTTTTTTAAAAAAATCTGAAAAAAATATAGTATTTAAAACCTAGTAGTAAAGAATCTTTTTTTTTAAATTTCATACATAAATTAATGATAATATTTTGTAAAAATCGCACTTTTTTTTACTTTAAACTACCCATATCCAATCTCTTATCAGTTACTTAATAATGTAACTTTTAGTGTGTGAAACTTAATACCCGCCTTCTACAATAGAAGAAAACTCCTCTTTGAACTATCCTAATGGGTAAACGGTGAGTTTCCAAATTTTAGATGCTATTTAAAGTCAAAGTATTGAGACTTATTTCACAAAGAAGTAAAACTATGATGTCAGGTCCCTGGGCAAGAAGTTGCTGAAAACTTGGCGACTAATAGATAAACATATATAAAACAAAGTTTTTCAATACCAATTCTCCATTTTTTGTGAATCTGTGAATTATACACAATTTACTTTAATGTAAAAAATCTATAAAATTTTCGAATTAATCAGTAATATTTAAAATTATTTCTAACTAAAGTAAGTGATGAAAATAGATGAAAGGATTAATACAAACCTGACTCAAGGAATATTGATTGGGAGTACTGATTCTTTCTGGGTTAATGTTTAAAATTAGATCACCAACTCTAAAAAAAAAATAGTTTCAATTAAACAAAATAAAAAGTTTTATTATAGTTATTATTCAGACTCTGATTTTCTAAAATGCTTATTGAAAATTCCAAGTATAAAATAATAATATATAAGTGAATGCAAAAGAAACAGTAATCTTTAAAAGTTTATTTTATTCATTATATCAAATATATTTTAAAATACTAATTAGATAAATTATAACAGATGAAGTAGATATGTATGGATACTTAAGTTCCTGGTAACAGAATCTGCAGAATCCATTTGCAGCACTATCTTCATAAATTCTAATTTGTCTGCAACTTAAACTTAGTAAGACAGACACTAGTATTTTAAAAGTTAGGTTTAATCTAACATGCACATAACATAAAATAAGCACTAGTAAAATTTTTATCAGAAAAATTTTAAAAATTTATATTTTGATTAAATTTTTTTATACATTTTTAAATTAATGGAATAACTATTTACAAAAATAGTCACAATCTATATACAGTCTATAAAAAAGCAACTAAAGTTCTGAAAATTAAGAATTCAGCTTTTAAATTTTTATTGTATTTTAAAATCTTTATTTTTCAAAATTCCAATTGATTAAACTAAATTATTAAGAATTTTGGAAAGTCGTCACTATTCGTTTACAAATCAGCAGATGGCATCTGCAGATAGGGAAACAAATAGTATTTGAGTAAGTTAAGGAATTAAAAATGATTTCTCTGTTTCTATTCTCAAAATTTTTAGCCTTAATTTTTAAATCTGAGAGGAAAAATGATGTACAGATACTTTGATAATCTACAGTTGCTAGCGGTATGTAGTTTATCGTTAAAAATTCTTTTTTATTAAAAGTAAGGAATAGAATGATTATGAAAAATATAAAAATATACCTCTCACAGTTTAAAAGCTGTTGTAATGCAGTGTAGATAGGAAGACGTACAGACATAAGCTTTTTGCCACACCTATATGTACAAAGTAAATTTTTTTAAAATTAAAAGTATTTAAAAAAATATTCATAAAAAGTTGAGTTGGCAAGATTTAAAACATGATATAAATCATTTGAATTTTTTTTAAAAACTTAAACATTGATTGAAATCAAAAATATTTGCAAATATTACAATATAATTTATAAATGTATTCATACAAATACATTTGCATGGTAGTAAATTTTTATTTTAATTCTGATCTCAATCTCATTGATAATGAAGGTCTTCTCTGCAGAAATAATGAAATAAGGTAATGTTTGCAAATTACTATTTGATGGTCAATAAGACTTATAAATAACAAAGAGACTTCATGTGGATAGAAGTGACATGAAAATTTTAATTTAGGTATAGCTTTCCATTAATTGTATGTAGGAGAAAAAAGATTTTCTGTTTAATGAACTTATTTCAATTATCCCCATTTAACTTTTTGTTTATTTAAATATAGATGAGTAGTTAGTGTGCATATACAATGAAGACCGGCTAATTGTGTTAAGAGTAATTTTAAATAATAAATTTTTTTATGTTTTCTAATCTAAATACAGAATACTCTCGATATCTCAAAGTTGAAGAGATACTTAAACAATTTTGAGACAGAGAGTTTTCGAGATAATGAGTTCAGAACTAAATATGTTCTAAAAAAGTAGAAAAATATATTCTAAAATTTAAGAAGTAGAGTCATGAAACTTAAGAATAACTACAATTAAATATTTATGTAATTACAACATTGATAATTTTATTTTTAAAAGAAAAAATAATTATGCCTTAAATAGAAAAGAATTGGTTTGCAATAAACTTTTTACTTTAATTGATTTGTACGAAAAAATAAATTTCTATTACGAAAAAAAATCGAAATAACAAGGTTTTGAGAAGAAATTCTTTGACATAGGAATTCAAATTAACATTAGGTGAATATATAATGCGAAGGGGGAAATTTTTTTCTGCTGACATAATAAGGTTTTTGAGATATCGAAGTTCGAGCTTGTACTGTAATTTATTCTTTATTTGGGTTTCTGTCTTTACAAATTCAAGAAGGAATTATTGAGTTTGAATGAAAACAATTATGATTTAATTTATCCAGTGATTAGTTTGCAATAATTATTTAAAAAATTTAGCTATTTTAAGTTTAAAATAAAATACTTTAAATATAATATTATTTTTTAATGATATAAAGCATTAGTACTATGTTTTATCAGAGATTGTTTGGTAAATGTGAAAAAAAAACATGCTTTTTATCAACCCCAAAACGAAGTATTATTAATTACAATGATATCATACAATGATTACAGGATAACAGACTAAAATGATTGTCAGATTTTTACACTAATTTTTATTTTGTTAATTTTTCTATTTGTATTAGTTATACTTACTTTTAATAGCAAAATAATAAATAATTGCAGTAAAAATTTGCCACAGAAGTCTGAAATCTGGTGATAGTTAGATAAAATTAATTTTGGTCTCTCATAATATCATATCCATGAATTAGAGCTTATAAACAATACTCTGACTACACTCATAGCAAAGTTAACCTTGCTGTCACAGCTATAACAGCTTGTTCATACCATTTTCTTATAGGGTTGTCAAATGTCTATTGTTAAGGCTCATGAACCTTGAACAAATAGCCCGTTGCACAAGGTTTTTAACTTAAAACAAAAAACAAACTGAAACAGTTGAACAACATATTCTTTTTAGAACAATTTAATAAGACAAAACACTTTTTCCATGTCAGTCAATGTGACCTTTTCCAATACAAGTCATGTAGTATGGTCTTTATTTCCGACATCACTGCTCTTGAGAAAACTTTATGAGTTCACTGACCTAACAGTTTAAAATATAGGACCATGTCATAAATTGTTTTTGTGTTACAGTATCTAGAAATTCTAAACTTTCTAAAAATTATCCTGTATAATCTCAATAGAAAACTATTGATGACTGATATGAAATATAAAATTTTCACAGATACAGTTTTTCTTGCGGCAGTTTCATTAAAACAATTACTTGACTAGATATTTATAATGATACTGTAATTCAAAAGCTGTATCACTATAAATAACTAGCTAAATAACCAAGTCTCAAGTTGATAGATATCTAGCTAGCCAATAAATTTCAATTTTATGACTAAAATATTTAACATTTGAGACTAATAAAAATTCAGAATAAAATGCACCATTAATTGTATCATTACAGATGGTAATATAATTATTATCTTACTTAGTATGTTGAAATGCCAAAGGCTTATCTCGAGGTTGCAGTAAAAATTGACTGTTGTGAGGGTTCCCAGGTTGTGGAAGCAGCAAAGTTTGCAGTAACAAAGAAGTAATACTTTTAACTGCTAGACAACTAGTTCTTATTCTTTCTTGATCTTCTTCTTTACCATCTACATCATCTACTGGAGTTGCACTCAATACACCAAGCAGTGCCATCCAAGTTTCTTCAAACTGCTGCCTTGTGATCCAACCTTAATTTATCAAATAAACTTTATTTTATTAATTAAAAACACAATAAGTGAGTGGTACATGTAAAAAAGTATTTTAATACTTTGACCTTTCAGAGATGCCAAGTAAATATTTGATTGCTTATAACATATACAATAATTGTTATTTCATGAACTTTCCTTATTAGAGTATGAAACTAGACATTTAATAGAGAAATTATTATTAGATTATGAAACTAGGCATTTAATAGAGAAATAATTATTAAATTATGAATTAGATAGAAATGATTATTAGATTTCTCCATTTAACCCTTCCTCACATCCTGGAAAGTGCTAATAAGAAATCACAAGAAAAATTTTATTTTTTGTGCAACGTGGTAGTGTGTATTTAAAATTTACGATACAACTTTTAATGCTCTTTATTTTTGCATATTGCAGCTGGAACATCTGAAGATCATTTCTATTCCTCCTTTCAACCCTTTCTCACATCATGAAAATGCCAACAGGAAATTACATGAAAATTTTTATTTTTTGTGCTACGAGGTTCATAAAATTTACGATACACAATTTGATCGTGGGTGAACATTCGACAAGTTGTCTTTGATTGGATGATAAATCCACAAGACAGAACGGACCAAAAACGAACAAATTGGTAGTTAACTGAAATATATTTGAATCATTTCTAAAAAATTGTAATGATTGCTACACTTTGATTGAATTCACCACTTTTGATGTATCCCTTTTGAGGCTGCTGGCAATGAATGCAGTACATTCCTAGTAAATCTTCCTAGTATAGGATAAAAATGTATGTGTGAAGCAACCCCAAAACAATTAATGCACCAGGTCTCAAAATTTGTGGAACACAACCTAGTGGTTGTTATGCTGTTTCAAGCCTTGTTATGGATCTTGTAAAAAGGTTGGTCTCCATGAAAATATTTCAGAAATATAACAGATAATAACTACATGAGTATCCAACTTTTTCACTTTTATAACCGCTGTTGAACAGCCAACCCAATGTTTCAGGTTTACGACTACTAATGTTCACCTCTGTAGCTTTGTAATTTTGAACCCAATCCAGAAGATAAGGAAACTTTTGGATCAAGTACAGGGAGAAATTTGCCTTTTTGAAGAAACTAACTTGTATTTGTGTTACATGGAGAGGAAAATCACAAAAATCTCCCACGGTTGGCTTGATGGCAAGGGGACTCTAACCATGATCCGTCTACTATTGAGGATATTTTACATCAGCACTGTGGTTGATGCGAGCTGGATGAAGAATTTGTATTGACCAGCCATTGCTGGAATTTGAACACGGTTCACTTCATTGGAAGACGAGCGGTTTATCCCCTGAGCAATCAGGGCTCAGAGTATCCAACTTGCAAAATATTTGTTACAAAAAAATTGACTCATGTTAGCCACATTGGAAAAAATTAATAAAAAGGAAGTGCCACTGGAATTTTTGCCAAATAAGAGACAGATGGAGCGAACAGCAATATTTGGTTTCCAGCCAGACAAAGTCCTTGTTTCTTTCATTCATTGTAGATTTAATGCAATAATTCTCTTTTCTACTGTGCAGGATAATGCCAGCATTGATACAAGCAAAAATAAACCAGAAATGATCATGGATTATAATGCTACGAAAGAAGGAGTGGACACTGTTGATAGACTGTGTGCAACCTATTTAATTATAAAAATCACAAGAACGTGGCCTAGTGCTATCTTTTTCAGTCTCCTGAATATTGCTGGAATAAATGCCCAGATGCCACATGCTTGCAAAGCCAGCTAACAAAACACCATGCTGATGGATCTTTCTGAAAAACTTATCACTTAAGTCTCATGAAAGAGCATTTTCATTCCTGTGCCAAAATCCAAACAATACCTTCTGACATTCCAACTATTCTAAGTCATAATTATGCTGCTCTTAATGATTAAGTGCCAAAGCAATCTTCATTGAAAGCAGAAACCTGCAGTTTGTCTATCAGAGAGAAAAAAAAGGAAACCTCTGCATCTATGAAATGAAAGACATACCTTAGATACACAAGCAAACGTTATTTGAATACCAAAATTTTTTGCATGGAATGCAATGAGAATTTAAGACAATGAGAAATCTCTTTAGAATTATATTTTGCTATCATTATTCTACTCTACTCGTATTATAACTATTCTATTACTTTCTCTGATTTCTAATTTTTAGAAGTAAAATAAAGAAGAATATTAAAATTCAAGCTAATTTAAATTAGTTTTTGTAACTAGAAATTTATTTTCTTGACTTTTTTACTGCAGAAAATTTCCTCAAAGAAGGAAGCAATTTTAAACTTATTTTTTTCCTAACAAGGCTTTCTTTTTTATTTGTTCATACTTGCCTGTAATGAATATTAAAACTATCTTAAATTTTAAAATATATTCATCAACTAATAAATTTTTTATAATAAAATATATCATTGCCTTGCTACCTGACAAGCAAAAGTATTTAAAAATAATTTACTTTCATTTGAATGTGACATTATTTGTATTTTGTAGCAATACGGTAAATTTTTAAAATTTTTCAACAAGTTTGTAATCAACATTCTTTGATTTGTGCAATATTGCATTGCAAAAACTGTTAAGTAACAGCTGTCGTAAGAAATATGACAAGTGCGCTAATGTAAAATTGCTGAGTTCGTGTGCTGGGAGGATAAAACATACAAAATTATTCAAACTAACAAATTACCAAGAACATTTATTCGATAAATGTACTGTTTTAAAACATCTCGATCTTGCAAATATTCTCCAGGAGGAGGAGGCACTGTTGTTTTGAAGTCACCAGATAACTCAGGCTTCCAACCCAAACTCCATAATATAGGTGGTGTTCGAGCAAAACTATTGACCAAAGGTAATCTTGATAAGCCTACAAATAATGTTTTAGAAATTTTTTAGTGTATCCTTGTAAAGAAATAAACAAAGAAAATCATATATAATAAAAAAAAAATTATTGAAAAAACACTAGGCAATATAAGGGCTTTTTCTTAAAGCAAATTAAAAACTGAAAATATCTGCAAAATGAAACATAAAATGAATTATATTGGTAATAAACATTTACCTTTTATAACACTTTTCAATGGAATGAATAATTGTTCAGGTATTTGAAAGAGTAAACTTGATTGCTTCTCAAGGCAGTCAATTAATTCAACTATTTGAATGCATGAATTACGAGCAAGAGATTCTTCTAAAATAAAGAATATTAGATTTCATTTATTTCACAATCTAAGCTCTTATCAAGTATATAGTCAAATAATGTACATTGAATATTTTTTTCCCTTTTAACAGTTAAACTTTTTAGATCTTTTTTGCTTTCTATTTTTGTCTTTCATATACAGAGTGTCTAGTAAATGTTAAGACAAACTTCATGAGCAGATAGGACATATCATAAGGATTAAGAATTGCTTAGCAACCCATGACCGGAAATGTCATTGTACTCCACTAGATTATGAACAGATTGTCCAGTCGCCTTTGAATTAGTACTTTTATTTATCTAAAATAACTTAAATGCATGCTAACTTTATGTTTTCTAATAATTATTGTTTTCAAAATAAATTTCATTCACACAAGCTTAGAAATAGCTGTTTTATTGTAATTTAATAATTTAGTGACTAACTTGACTATTATCAGGTCTTGCATAATTGTTTAACTTGTTTATAAGTTGTGATGGTTAAAATCAATGTAAATTAATTATAGTAAAGTAAATATCAAATGATAAAACATAATTTATAATCAAACCAATTTATATAGTAAAAATAAAAAACATTATTAATCTGAATTAAGTTGTGATTAATGTGTATATTAAGCTTTATCATAACACTATTCAGATTGCTTACCCCAGAAATTTTTTCAAACTAAAAATAGTTTTGATTTGATTTTTAACAAGTAACTACAGATTAATAATTGGTTTAATCAACATTTTAATTGGTCATATCCACACTAGTCCCGTAATATGAGTCTAGAGTAGCCAAAAACGATTTTTTCTGTAAAAATCTTATTAAAAAAAGTATGCAGCCAAACAAGCTTATATATCACTCAAAATTAAGACAACTGTTAAAATTTTAATGAAAACATATTAGAAAAGTTAAAAATAATAATTGACAAACTTTTTTGGTAAAGTTTTAAAAATTGTTCACACTAGCCTTCTCCTCTTTACATAGGTACACTACATTACCATAATTAAAATACTTAGGGACAGATAGTGGTTGTAAAAGTAGTCTCTGCAACAAGCTTCCGAACGAAGTGGATTCCAAAACCCTAAACATTGACCCAAGCCATAGTGGCTATAGTAAACCCACTATACCAACAGGGAAATATCTAGGACTCAGAAAATTACCCACTTAATGTTGTATACTTAAATTAAGTCTAAATCAAACCATTTAAAATAATAGGCACTACAAGCTAAAACCTTCTAATTTAAAAATAGAAACAAATAATGAACACCCAAATATAAGAATTTTGAAAGATTTGATGACAAAATTGATAACAATGAAAAATAGGAAAAATCTAATATGAGAAAAGGAAAACACAAACTACATTTTGTTGATGATTTAGGCTTAAACTTGGTTCTATATTGCAATCGTGGAAATTTTTTTAAACATACTAACACTTGATTTAATTTCCAATTTTTCTTTCTCAATGCAATTTTCAAATAATAATTTTCAACTTATTACATAACTATATCTTTGAAATAATACAATGGCTATAAAATTTTTTTTTAAATAAATGCATTTTTTAAAAACAATAAAAAAAACTTTAAAAAAATAACTACTTACTAAAACGTTATCTACCTGGTTATAAATTTACAAAGCTTTCTAGAAATGAAACTGGGAAAACAACAGTGTTTAAAAATAGCACCAGATTATTCAAAAAAACTAAGTGAGTTCTAGTCCATGTTAGTAATAACCATGAACCAGGGAATGCTTACAGTAAATAGAAATTAAACAATATAAATCGCTCTTGGCATTAAGACTTGATGAAATAACAGTCATTTGTATATTTTACAGCTTCATATAATACTTTTGTATAAAATAATTCAATCAGTTTATAAACTTAAATTTATTATAGGCTACCATCTTACATTTTAACAAGTATAACAAATTAAGCCAGAGAAAAATACTTAAAATAATTTACCTTGTGTGAGAGAGTGTTGTTCTGATAATAACTGTGAGTCAAATTTAGGAACAGCACAATCTTGTAGTACTTATGAAAGAGAAAACATAACATTATTATATTAAAATTTTGAATTATTTATATAGTAGATAAACATTCATGTTAAAAACGAAATACATTAGATCTATTAAACATTTTTTAGTGATCAAGTACTGCTAGTACACATACTTGAAATATTCTTTATTCTTCTGTTTTTTCCCATAATTAATATTATAAGGTATATATATCAGGGGGGCCAGAAATTAATGTAATTTTTTTCCATTTCATTCAAACATACAAATTTTTAATCAATAATATAATCAATTTTATAATCAACAACTTTTTGTCCTTTTGGTAAAGGAATACCTCCCACCCCAATTTATATTATTTTTCAGGGTTGTTTTCCTAATTGATATAAGTCATAGAAAACCATTGTTTACAATGAAGAATTTAGTAAATATTTATCATTTTTTATTATTTTATTTAATAATAGTCAAAAAAATTTTGAATTGACATTCAATTTTTTATATCATTTTGAAGAATGTAAATTTACATGGCAAAATAAAAAATAAAAAATGTGCAAAATTAGACAGTATTTTGCCATATCTTGATAACATTTTATTCAAATTGAAACAGTTTTGCACACAATTATAAAATTCATTTATCCAAGAACAATTCCATGCTAAAAGTAACTTTTAGTAAACACTTATTATGCTTTATTTCATTTAAAAATAGCCAAAAAATTTAGAATACTAAGTTACAAAATTTTTTAACATCATTTTAAAGAATCTTGATTGAAAATTTTTGAAACACTTTGACTAAAAACCACTTTTTATTTTTTTAAAGACAAAAAACATGCTCTTGATTTTTTACAGTTGAAAAGCATGACATTTAGCATGAGAAGAAAACATTTGAGGTGATAAAAATTGTTACTTCTTACTAGAATATTCTTAACATTTAAAAAAAAAGAAATTATTTCAATTCATCATTTTAAAAACTTATATAAATATATTAAACATTTCAGTAGCTTGATTACATAGCGTTGATTTTTGTCTTTCTAATGACAACAAATTTAATAAAATTCACTCATAAATAAAACATATGAAATATTTTAAAGTACGAACTACCATACATAGTTACATTATTTCCTTAATTCAAGTCAATTTTTAAAGTGGTTGGCTCTCTTATCGCTGTTTTGGTTAAAAAATTTTGAAAAAATAATTTTAGTTATTTTTCATCCATACCTTTCCTATAAAAACCACAGGCAAACATAGATTTCTTTATTTTTGTACATTTCGCTTGGAATGGCACCTTTTTTAGTATTCAAAATTATCTTTTTATAATGCTTTACAAGAGAATTTTTTAATACACTTACAAACTTTTAGGTGGCAGAGAGCCAATAGGAAATGTGGTCACTGTAAGCATCTTCAAAATTAATTTATTTTCTCTTCGTAGTTTTCAAAATTTAAAGCGGTTGATTAAAGATTTTAAAAAGTTAAAACTATTTCAATTTTAATGGCTTAAAATAATGTTAAAAATAAGTGGACCACTCTGGGAGTGTCACCGTCTTTGAACCCTAAAGGAAAGTCTCTGTGTCTGGGGATGAAGCCTATATAGAAGTTGGATAACTGACATGAAATTAACTTTGATATTCAAACAAACAATTAAAGCAGGAAAAATAATAAAAAGCAATAAAAGAAAAGATATGTGTATTGGCATCTTTTATTTTATTGCTTTTAATTATTTTGTTTTAGCTGCTTTAGGCGCTTTTCCATTTTGATTTAATTATTAATTTACCTTTTTGTCTTTTTCTGTATTTGTAAATTAGATTCATTTTCTGATTATGAAATTAACTTTATAATAATAACATACTCAATTTCCATTTTTTTTAAAAAAGCTAATGAATATGCAAGTATGCTACAAGTATGAAGTTTTATTTTGCAGTGCAGCTAAAGATTTTTCTGATTTCAGAAACCAAAACTTTGTTTGAATGCTACCATTTTACATCAAATATACTTACAATAATTAATTAGATGATGAATAGAGGATATGCACGAGTACATTTGCAAACATGGATGATAAGAGTTCACAATTGGAGTCAATTCAGATTTTTTTAAAACTTTATCCAATAAAAGTAAAGTTAACTTGATCATTTCTGATGATGATGAGGAGGAAAACTTTGTATGCCACACAGCTGCCTAAAAGGAAACACATTCATAAAATTTATACAAAAACAATTTTATACTATATTTCATGATACCATATTTTTCTTTTTAAAGGATAAAGTATAAATAAATAAGAATAAAAATCTTCTTTTACAATCATAAAAGTATTTTTCTAAAAAATGACAATTTCAATACATGCAAGTTATATCTTAACATACTACTGGAATAATTAGTTACAAAAAGTAATGAAGACTAAACTATAGCTTTCAAATAAAAAGACAAAAATAATGCTTAAGTTATTTTTTTAATAAACAAAATTTAAGAGTAAAAAAGACAGATTTATAAAACAAAATACAGCTAACACTTGAAATACAGCTAACACACAAACATTGATAACACAATATTTTCGACATCATGAAAAATTCCCTATGCATATGTTATGCTGAAATAAGAAAAAAAACTTTTAGATGAATACATTTTTACACTTAAAAAATATCTTTTTCCTTAATTCTAAAGAAATACAAAATGCTTTCTTGAACTTAAATCTTAAAAACATTCCTTGATTAATTTTATGAATTATTTCTGGAAATTCAAATAAGAAAGAGATTGCCTGATAATTGAAAAGAAGTTGTCTGCATCATTCATTCTTACATTAGCAAATTTGTAAGATATGCATACATGGCAATACTTTTACTTTTTTTACTTGTAACAAAAGTAAAAGTAAAAAGTACATACTTTTACTTATACTTTTAAAATTTAGTTACTTTTTTCGGGAAAAAGTACATGTATTTGTAACAAGACTGTTGAAAGAAATTATTCAATTTTTTAAAATTTTTAAGAAATTTTCAATTTTTTTGGATTATTTTTTTCTTAATTTATGAAATTAACATATTCTTAAACAGCTAACTTTTTTATCCATTATAACAGGTTTCAACTTTAATTATAGGTCATTTTATAAAAGACTTTTCGAAAGAGGAAACTCTAGTAAAATCTTAAAGCTGTAACTTTAATACAAACATTTAATTTAAGCAAAAAAACATAAATCATACAAATTACCTTACAGCATATGATGCTCAATAATATTATATCATCTTGGGAGTTTTCAGGAATGCTTTTATCAGGTAAAATATCCAATGAACTCAAGAATGTAGATGAACAAGGAACAAGAAAAAATAAAATTTCCCAAAATGGTTTTTCTGTAAACAATGTATGCAACTTAGAAAGATGTTTTAAAGTCTTAGGCAGCAAAGAGGCAAAATCAGTTAAATGCTGTAAATAAACAGTTTGGGCAGCACGGTATAATGCACTTCCTGGACTTTCTATGACACCTACAAATGGATCATTACATCTTGTACCTAAATACTTCTCAGAAGAAGCCATAAGTTGGGATCCTAATTCTAAACAATGTTCTAACACAGGTAGTTGGAAATCCTAAAAGAAAAAAAATAATGATATATTATCCTTATTTTCAAATTTTAAGTAAAACTTGCATATCTACTCTCTATCTATCACGAGAATTCCTTCAGACACTAGAGACAAACGCTGGCAGTTACTGTCACCACAAAAAAAGTAACTTTGAATAGTGTTTGGGATAACCATTTTGAATTGGCTTTTGTTGGGAAAGTCAAAATTTTTTTTCTATTCTTTCCCATTAGAAATGGTTTTAATCATGTTCCCATAGCAGCAGACAATCTCAAATGAACTATATATGCCTTTTTTACTTTTATATGCTCGGCTACGTATTTAAATATTTAGTGATATTTTAAAATACTGAGTAATCTTCCCTCAAATTTTGAAGAAATCCTTGGAAGAGGCGAATCAAGGGCACCAAAGGGAATGATTATAAATAAAATCGATTATATTTGATAAGACTTAAATATTACTGAATTTAATTATCACTATAAGAATTTATTAAACAAAGTTTTATAATTTTGTACTTCTCAAGGAAATGCATCGTAAAAAAAAGTTTATAGTAACATAATTTAAACGCACACATTTAGAGCCTTGAGTTTAAGTATTTAGCATATTTTTGAATAATTTGATTCTTATGCACATAAATATCAGTCGTCATAATTGTCTAAAAATCAAAGTAATTATCTTTTTTATATTTAATTTTTAATAAATACTTTTATTTTTAAAAAATATATATTTTTTCGTTTTCTTCTTAATTTAGAATATTTTATTTTTGAATTGTATGACTTAATATCACTTACTTTAATTCATTCACTCCCTAATGCCAATGAAAATTGCTGTTTACTTTTAAAATTAAGTTTTCTTATATCTTTAGCCATGCTTGAAAAATGATAATAACACATCAAAAATAAAGTTTCCTTCTTTTCGAAACTATCAAAGTCCATAATTTCATATAATATGCAACAACTGTGTTTTCAAATCTATTTTTCACATCAAATCTAGACTGGCTCTAATTACTATAAACCAAAAAATAACAAAACAATTAATGGAACCTGAGGGACTCAAAATGTTGACCAATCATTTTGCCATATCATCAAGAAGAATGATTTTAGTCTAGGTTGCTTCTAGGTTCAAAGCATTAAATAAGGGCTGAAATGTATCTTTAATGTTTAATATTAGCAAAATTAGCTTTATAACTTCCTTAAAAACTTAAATTTTTTTCAAATGTAAACTGAAATAACTCCCTTTATTTCCTTTCTGAATACATTGTTCGAACAGTTCACATTTTTACATGCTTGTAAATTTTATGCTTTTTGGTTTCAGTATAACAGTTGGTTCAGTATATTGGTTGGTATGTGTTCATATATTGACTGCAATTTTAGTTATTACTTTTGTTTAAGTTATAAAACATTTTTAGTAATCATTTTTAACAAACTTTGCAGTAATAGTTCTGTTCTAAAGGTTCAATAAATATATATTTAGAATAATTTTTTTTCATTTGATTTTGAAAATATGTTTTGAAATGCCATTTCTTTCAAGCAGATATCATAAATGTAATAAAATAATGGGTAGATTACATTCATGAAATGAAAACAAAAATTAGGATGTGATGAATATTGCTTAGTTCTTATATTTTCTGACTCATTATTTAATTCATAATAAAATTTCAATAAAAAGTTTTAATTTTTTTTTTTTGCTTTTTTAATTGATTTATTACTGTAAAATAAAATTTTTACTGAAATCAAGAGGCGACCTACTAATATCAACTTTTTTTATACAAATATAGCATCTTTTAAAGATAAATTATTGTGCCCCCCCCAAAAAAAAAATCTTTTTTTTCTTCACACTATGCCTATAAGCATGAGTGACATTATGGCTGACATTAACTCTATCCAGTTCTATCTTTTCTGAAGAAAAACTTTTGAATTCTTGTAGTAGAGAATGTATCTCTGGATCTAGATGATTCCTTTCATTGTTTTAGTTGAGACTGATAATGATATTAAAGGATCAATCAAACGCTTTTGTTTAATGTAGACCAAAAGCCCATGTTCCTTAAGGATCTGTGCCAATTATTGTTTTTATAACATCTGCTGTGATATTCATCTTTATGAAACATCTTCTCAAGCCTAAATCCAAACTGACAAGTTGTTTACTGTAAGTTTGGATTCAACTCGAATTTGCAGCATAAATTTTAAAATCAGATGGGAATAGTTTAGTTGGTTTTGATTATGAAATTACAAGAGACATCAGCCCTGGAGTCCACAAGATAGTGCCTTTTACTTGACTTGTCAAAAAGAAAGAGGCAGCAGTTTATCAGGTTGCAGTTATTGGCTTATTCAATTGTTCGGCCCAACAGTTTCCCTAAGTATTTTGGATTTTTGAAAATCACAAGGGTTTACACAGTGATGTGTCCTGTTTCTAAATTTATAATGGTACCAACATAGCTTATAACGAGAAGATTAGATCTTGAATGCCTATCATTTTGAGATGTACTTATTGTCATGAAAGTGTCAAATCTTCTAGTTAATTCTGTAATACTAATTTCTAAAGAACTAATATTTTCATTATAAGTGTTATTAGGTTTAAAAGCTCTACCCAATGCTTTATACACTGCACATAACTCTATTGAATTAAATATAAACAGTGTGCTTTGAGTTGCTGCCCCCCTTAAAAAAACTAGAAGGAAAACTAGAAGGAAAAAACTAGAAGGCGGGTCTGAGTTCAGCTCTTTGTATGGTAAAATAAAGCCAACTAATAACTCCTTGTTATGAAATGTAAGTTAATAATTTTATAATTTTGGATGCACAATAAGAAACTTGAAACATTCTTATGTTTTTAGTTTGTTTGTATGCCGATTCAGGTACTGCGAGATTTCTGCCTTGTGCAGAAATTACGATATTTTAATTTTTGCCCCAAATCAAGGACTGTGGCGCTTATTTCATAAATTACAACACTTAATTTGAGCAAAAAATTACCTAAGTTTTCCCTGATTATCCAGATGCACAATATTCAAAAATATTGCATGCAGCAACACAAAAACAAGAAAATAATATTAGTAGCAAAATAAATCTTAGTAAACAATTAAATTAAGAAAAATTCCCATTTAAAGTTAAAAAGGTCTTTTCTATTTTCAAGATTCTTAACTTCTTTTCAGATTTTTAGCAAAACTTTTTATTTCTCCTCAGTACTTTTACTTACGCTTTTTACTTTTCCTGTTTCTTTAAACTAATTTAAAATCCCTTGAATTTCCCAGGTTTTCCTTGAAGCAAATGAATTCTGCATTTCGGCTAAGAGTTTTGAATAAGAATAATAAATTATACTGTGCCTTTGAAATCATGATGGCTACAATATCTTCATACTTAAAATTACTCAATAAATGAGCACATTCTTTGGCAGGAGACAAACTACTATAACATTGTTTCTTTACAAACATTGTGTACCATTCCTATAAAATAAAGAAAAAGAATATTAAAAGAAAAAGAAAATTATAAAAGCTAATTTTCAAAGAGTTATACTCTGAATAAACGAATTAAAATGTAAAAATAGAATAAAGTTCAATGTGATATGCGGTTTAAAAGAAAACAAATATACTTGAACATAAAAATTTGGAACTAAGTTAGAAAAATATATCAGACATTTTTCTTTTAAATCCAATTTTATAAAATAATAAATATTTTTTTCAAAAATTAAATGTTAAAAAAATAAAAATTAGAAAGATAAAAGGTTTTTAGAATACTGGAAAATAATTGGCATATATGTTGTTTTTAACTTTAAAACAAAAGAATAAAACAGTTTAGCCTTAACAATCAATCAAGTTCACATCTAATTAAAAAAAATGTCAAAAACTGTTCTGAACTCTCATTAAAATGTCAAAAGAAAGAAATTAATTTTAATATCCAAAACATAAGTAAATAAATTATAAAAATAAACACAAAAATACATATTTTAAAAAATTTTCTTAGTTTTCCATTAATTAATTGAACAGGAAGATCACTAACAAACTTAACTTATGAAGACTATCTGCATAATTATTATATATATAAAAAAATGAAGTCCTCAGAGTTTAGAATAACTTGGAGCAAAAAGAAGAAAAAAAAAGCAACATTGTAATTACATTTTTCTTTTAATTTCAAAAATTAAATTCCTGAACTATTCCAGATATATCAGACAAATTTTAATATGATTCAAGACCATAATTCGTAAACAAACTGGAATATTTCATTTGAAATGAACCAAAATAAATAGAAAAATCTTGTTGCCCTCAAGTCACAAATTTTAATGAAATTTCTTTCAAATTTATTGAAATTTCCTGCACATGTACTTTTTGGACCAAAGCTATGATTGCCAGACACATTTGAATTTAGATTAACTTAAACAAAATGAAGCAACTAGAGAAGGTAGATCACATGCTTCCAACTATTTTTTACTTCAAACAAATTTTCTTGATTTTAGTGTCTAAAAAAAGTGAGAACAGTGTAATTGAACTGTTAAAATGCTGCAAATAGATATATTAGTATTTAAAAATGAATTTTAAAATTATTCTTGAGGAAATTTTTATTTTGGTCATCAAAAAAAAATTTTTAATAATAAATAACAGCTGTTTTTAGCTAAAATATTTCAATTTTTTTTAATAATACAATAACAAAGTCAATCTCAATTTTTTTTACATAACCCTAAATATTACACTTTTAAGATTAAAAGTCAAAAAGCGTTCTTTTTTTATTTTTGGTCATAAAAAAATAAAAAGTGGTATTACCCAACAAATATGGAACTCTTAATTCTTATTCAATAAATTACCAATTAATTTACATAGCCTACATTTAAGCATTGATTAATTTTTTCAACACTTTCTGAATGGATAATATTATATATCAGTCAAAAGCACGTAAACAACCACTGAACTTTTACTTGTAATCAGCACATTAAGCTAATTTTCTAAGGAACACAGCAAACACACGTTAGACAACTATTGAGCTGTTGTCCACTTTGTCTCATGAATGTAGTTTGGCATATTGCATACTAAAATAAGACTTTGAGACTTAAATGTAATGCTGATTAATGTATTTAAAGAAGGCTGTTTGATTTAGACCCATTATCTGTGTCATCAACAACTTGTGACCATTTTAGTTCCATAATTATATAATTCATACTTCATATTTTTCCAGACACTAATAACCAATATACATAAAGCATTTTTTACTTTCCATGTTGAACACTAGCTTCTTCAACAGTTCAGTGTATGGTTCTTTTATATTATTTTTAGTATATGTAATAAATTTCACATTTTGCCGATGTGTTTTTGATGATAAATAGATACATATTCATTGTATGCATTTCATAACATTTCCAATTTTTAGAAATATCTGCTAATTTTTTCAATTTCAATAATTACTTTTCTAATAAAATGAAGCTTTTATTTTCATCTTTTTTTAAAGGTATACTGTCAAATGATATTCTATCATCAAAAGTTTGTTTGAAATGAAAAACATGAAAAAAACAAAGCTCAGAAATTTAACCTAAATTCCAATTAGGAATTTCAGACAAATATTATATAAATATTCTAAAGTCTAAATAATAGTAATAATACTAGTAATTAAATCTTACTAATTTAATAAACAATAAGAAAATAGAAAAATAATTTCTTTATAAATACATTGTGACATAGTATTCTTGCTGAAAATGGTTTATTTTTTAATGACCAAAAACAAATTTGACATTTTATGTTGAAAAGTACATTTAATATTATGTGGAAAAAAATTAGGAAAACTTTATAATTTCACAATAAAAAGAAGCTTATTTAAATGTTTTGGCCTAAAAACCACTATTTCTTTCTTTCAATAACCTAAAACAAAAAGCACTCTTTTTTAATTTTATGTTAAAAAGTATATTATTTAGCATTATAGGGGGAAAATTGACATCTGGAAACTTTTATAGTTCACTCCAAATAAATCTGTAAATATTTTGGCTAAAAACCAATTATTATTTTTTTAATGACCAAATACAAAATTTCTAATATCTTTTTAAGTAGAAAGTATGGTAATTTAACATTAAGAGGCAAAGAATTGAGATGTTATAATTAGTGATCTTTAAATTAAAAACTTTTAAATAGTTATTAAATATGTATTTCCAGCATTTTTATAATTTTATTACATAGTTCTCCTTTTCCTTTCTAATGAGCCAGAAATTAAAAAAAAAATTTGTTCTTAAATTAAAAAATTAACATACAAGCCACTTTCTCTATTTATGCTATTTTGTTCCATCAAGTCAAATTTCAAAATGGCTCAACAGTTTTTTGCCTCAAAAATTCCGATTTTGTTTTTTAATATGTACTTATTTTGCAATTATTATTATTATTATTGTTTTTTTTCTTTTATAAAAATCTGACATGAAAGCAATGGTCTTTTGTTCATTTCATATGGAATTAGCTCACTTGATACACCTAATATTAGATTTCGTAAGAAACAAAGTACAGTATAGAACCCGTTATCCGGAAATCAGAAAACCGGAAAACCAAAAAACCGGAACGAAATTCGATACATTTTCCCGCCATTTAAAAAAAAAAAAAAACATTTTCCTCATAAGATTTTAGGATTTTTCTTTCTTTTTTGAAAGATGTTTACCTTACCATCATTTTGGAAATAATCATTAGTGTATTACTTCATCGTTTTTCCTTCTTTTTAAGATTATTTCCAACTATTTTTTCTTTTTTTTTTGTTGGGTTAAAACGGCTTTTTGTATCGATTCAGAAAACCGGAAAAATCAGTTATCCGGAATAGCGATGGTCCCGATCGTTCCGGATAATCGGTTCCCTACTGTATAACTAAATGAGGATATCATTTAAAAATTCAATTGCAAAGTGGAATTTTCACAAGAAATAATTATAGTAGATGTTGAATTGTAACTTGGATCTTAAAAATTAATAACTGTTTTTGAAAGTTTCAAGTTTGGACATTTACAAGGATTTTCCTGGTTTCTATAAAAAAAAGTGCCTTTTTTTTTAAACTTTTCATGCCAAAATTAAATTCCTAAAAAATTTTCAGGTTTCTGATATTTCCTGGACCTATGGAAATCCTGCTAATGTACTAAAATAATCTCTACTGCAAACTTTTTATCACTACTGAGAATACTATATATTCATATCAATTTAGTAACTGAATACTGAATTGTTTTGCAGTATGTAGATTATGATTACTAGGAGAATTTCTAAAATGTAATATGAAGTTCCTATTAGTACAATTAAAAAAGATTTTACTAATTATTAAACTTTAAAATTCAAATGTTATTAAAAAGTTGCATCACTACTAAACAAAATACTTTCACTTAATCAAAAATGAAAACCAAACAAATTATTTATTAAAATTTTTTACAATTTTTCGTGAGTTATTTAGAATATTGATAACTTTGGGCACAAATAACTTAGTCAATTTAAGCCAATTTCAAGTCATTGGCATGTCAAGTTTGGAACTTGACATGCCAAATATACTGTCTCATGAGGATATTTTCTACTTTTCATTTAAACTTATTATTCTTTGCTTATTATTATTCTTTTTTACCATTATAACAAAAAATAAAAGTTTAAATTTTTATTTAAAGCAGATTTACTTATCGTAATGCTAGAATTTTGCTTTCAAATTTCTTTTAATTGGATCAAAAAATTAAAAAAGTAAAATAAAAAAGATAAATTGAAAAAGTAAAAAAAAATTACTTTGGTTAAACTTATATCCTGAATACATAGAAGTGAGTGTTGAGAGAGAGGGTGAGAGGAATCATCAATTGTATTTCCTAAAACTGCTTTTAATTTTTCGCATAATGAAAGGAACTTTCTATGCCTAAAAGAAAATTAACAAATAATGAAAGGTTTGTAGTTATAAATACAGAAATATTTTATAAAATTATTATGTAAGTAATTGTAAAATAGTCGTCCACATTTTGTCTCGCCCCCTCCCAAAAAAATACATGTTTCAAAATAACTTATTAATAAATTTTCATATCACAAAACACAGTTTTTTGTAAGTTTTATCTATTTCTATTAAGAAAAAAATAAATGGAAGCCTCAGGAAGTTCAAGTTTCTCTCAATCACAAAATGCAATAAAAATTTCTCTCAACATTACATCCAGAGCCATAGTCAGGATTTTATTTCCTTTTCAAGATAGGATTTTCAACTCATTTTTCTAATGCTACCTTCGTACCTACATAACATATTTAAAATAGATGGCAGAATAATGATCAGATAACGTTCAAATTCTTGAACTTGTCGCTAATTTCCTTCTTGGTTTCAAACAAAAAAAAGCTCATTTCGAGTTTTGATGACTTAACTGTTCTTAAAAATAGAAAAGAATCTTAAAAATGGCTAAGAAATCAACTTAAAATAAAAAAAAGATGCTTAATAAAACTAGAATTTAAATTTAAGAAAGATACAAGAGAAATTAACTATATAAAAAGGGAATTAAGATAGCGAGATATCTTTATAAAAATTTAAAATTAATTTTAAAAAAACGATCTAAAGTCATCAAATTATTAAAAATAAATAAATGAATAAAGCATTTCCAAAATTTAAAATTGTTAACCATCTGAATAGAAAAGGTGTCCTAAAATATATTTTGATTACATTTTCATTTTAATTTCAGTTATGGAAAAAAGGTGTGTTAAATATAAAATATTACATGATAAGGATGAATAAAATAATTCTTTGGTTGAATTATAAAACGTCCAAACATTTCTTTATCGAACGAGTGGTCTCACTCTAGAATTCGTTATATGTAAAAAGAACAATAAAATACCAAACAAAAGCAACAAATTTTAAAAAAAATACGTAAACAAAAATTAAATTGAAACATTAACAAAAATTTTAAAAAAAGTAACAAAAATGTAAACAAAAAACAAAGGTAACTAACAAAAAATCAATATAAAACAACAACCAAGGATTCGCTAAATATCGTCACAGAAAAGATCTGGAATGAAATGCAACTAGTACCACAAAGGGAATGAAAAAAATTCCTATTCCTCAAAACTTGCCAACTGATAATAAAAGGAAAAAAATCTTTCAGCCAATTTGAATCAAAAGTATGCATGTGTTAAGTCTTTTTTTTAACAATAGAAGTAAATTACAGGGTGTTTTTGAAGAAATGACAGGTGCTATGGCGGTCTAAGAGAAAAAAAGAGGGAAGAGAACCACGGGAACAAATGTTGATCCAGCGCCGCAATGAGAGGAGTTTTTTCTAGCGGTACATATGCTGTAACAGCTGCAAGTAAAAGGTTAATATTAACTTCACTTTTTCTGTATTTTGCTATATCTCAGTAACTTTATAAGCGAATTAAAAAAAAATTACACACAATCATTAAAAATAAGAATGGTAAAAAATTTTTTAATTGTAAGATATAAAATTTTCGCATCATTTTCAAGAATATAATTTTAGATGGCAAAATACAAAATTTGAGCCAAATCGGAAAAATAGTTCCTGCGAAATCGGATTTTAAGTATTTGACTTTTTTGAAATTCAATTTCTCAGGAGCTATTCGATCGATTTGGCTCAAATTTTGTATTTTGCCATGCAAAATTGCATTCTTTAAAATGATGCAAAAAAAATTGTACCTTACAATTAAAAAATTTTTCAACCATTATTAAATAAAATAATAAAAAACAATAAATATTTACTAAAAGTTATTTTTTGCAAGGAATTATCTTTGGATAAATGAATTTTATAATTTTGCGCAAATTTTTTTCAATTCGTTTCAAAAGTTTTTGAGAGATAATAAACTACATAAAAAGTAAGATTAACATTAAGGGGTTAATGTTAATCCTTCTATATTTTGGGGGTCAGAATTCCGAATCCATCGAAAATAAAAGATAAGTTTATTCAGAAAAAATAAATTTTTGTGTCTGATTTCGTGACTTAAAGTAATGTCTGCACTTATTAATTAGCATATTTGAGGTTTCCCCTTGGAGCCATTAAGATTGAGTAATAGAAAGTAAAAATCCGATCATTAGATCTAAAGCTATTCAATGTGGTCTGTTTTTTTGGCGCACTGTACATCACCCAGTACTTCAGTAGCACAGTCAATTAAGGCATCGTTCACACGGTTAATGGAGTGCTAAATATTACAAGTTTGATCCTTACAACATGTTTGATCCTCTAAACATGTGTGTATTCATAGGAAAGTGCATGTTAAAACTGTCTCTTGTTGGTAGTGATGTGGACATTTGGAAAGAGGGGTAGTTACATCAGCTAACCAGAGTCAAAACTACATGGCATTCTTGCCATGTGTGTTAAAATATAGAGCTCTAACAAGTCATGCTGGGTGCTTGGCCCGGTTGGGTGGTGTGTGTACTTTATTTATCCACAAACACTTTCAATTCACAATTTAAAATACATATTTTAATTAATTAAACTGAACAATAGAAATTGACGCCCGGTGGCTTAGAGGTAGCGCTTCGCACTATCGTGCCACAGGTTCCTGGTTCGATCTTCGGGCCGGGCAAGGTTGACTCAGCCTTTCATCATTCCTTCAGTGGATGATGCTTGGGAGCTAAACACTGGGAATTCCGCGTTCGGCTGACCACCTGACCGGAATATCTGCTCCTGAACCCCAGAGCCCAAGAAAACTGAGACTGGCACAGTAGGTCTTGGCCCTGTATGAGCTGTCGCGCCACTGAGTTTAGTTTAGTAGAACAATAGAAATAACACATTTTCTGTTTCAAAAAGGATGATAAATTTTTTAAAGTTATCTAATTAATTGATACTCTTTCTCTTAGAGTTTTTTTACAAAGAAAAAAAACAGAATGATAGAGGCAAGGTTATAACAAAGTAACTGCAAAAAAAAGGAATAATAGCAATGAGATCAGATCATTCATGTATACGAATGAAATTGAACAATAAACAATAATAAACCTTAAAAGTTTTGTAAAATTAAGACAGGATAGATAGAAATAAGAAAATTTTATTATAAAAATATTATAAGAAGCAAAAAGTTACAATATATATTTATATACTTCATTACCTGTTAACAATACCATTAGTTTCCAAACTTTTGACCATTCTTTCAATATCTAATGGCGTAAGTTGACTTGAGCTGGGATCCGAAATCAAAAATTCTAATTTTTTACAAGCCATTCTATCACACAAATTGGAAATCAAAATATGATGAGTGAAAATAAAATGATCAATCAAAAGGCTTAAAAGTTTTCCAGACTGAGATGGATGAATATTCTCTAAGCAATTTAAAGCTTTCTTCCAAAATGTTGGCTATGAAAAATATAAAATCAAATTATTTTCTTATAGTAGAAAATTAAACATAAAAATTAACTAATTGTGCAAATAAATTTAACATAAAAATGCTCAACAAAAAACTTTAAAATTAACAAGATCTCTATACAGGGTTCCCACTCTTTTAACAAAGCAAAAATTAAGCAATTTTAAGGACTTTTTTTTGAAAAAATTAAGTACTTTCTTTGAAAAATTAAGAGCTTTAAAAATAGTATGATTGTTTATTATCAAATATACTTGCCACCAATAACAGTGCCAATTATTTACCTTTCTAAAAAAATCTATAAATAAAAGAAATAATAAAAAACAATTTAATTATAATGTAAGCCCTGATATAATTGTATTAATTAACAAGGACCGCCAAAGAAGTACTAGGCAAATTTTGCAAACCAGGGTCGAGTTTTTAAAAAAAACGTTTTCAGATTGTTAAAAGTTAATGTCATTCAGATTGTAAAAATTAACGTATGAAACTAATCTGTATTCCATTTTTAATGATTTCATAGAGATAGAATTGTAAAATTAATTGCAGAAATTAAGATTTGCAATTTTTTTCATGGATATTAAAAAAAAAAGAGTAAATAAAGAAATTTGGCAAAAACATTGAAAAAATTGTTACAAGTTTTTATATTTTGCTACTAGACCAACAAATGTGTTATATTTAATTTTCTGATGAACTTTAACAAAATTATTTCCAGCAAAACCTGTCATTAGGAATTAACTTTTCATGTTACTAAACATTCTGGCGAAACACATGAACTAATTTTAAAGCAACCAAAAATTGAACAAAAATTAAAAACAGTATATTAAGTAGCAATGTTAACTGAATAAAATGATTATTAAAATCTAAGGACCTTTTAGTTGAGTAGATTTAAATTTTTATGTAACAATCTGCTCATCCTTAAGAAATAAAAATAGTGTAACAATCTAATTTTACAATGAAACAAAACAAATTATAAATAATTACCAAACATTTAACTTTCTGTTAGAAGCAAATCATGCGTTCTTATTTAGCACTCAAGAAAAAAAAACTTGGTTTTCTTCAAAAACCCAATAAATCCTAAGTTTTTGATGAAAAACCTAGGTAGGCTGGGATTTTTCAAACCCTGTTTCTTATAGATCTGTTTAATTTTCAGCACAATCATGAATTTCAAAAATGTTATGCTTTCTATAAATTTATAGTTACTTATTACACATTGAAATATTATACAGATTTATTGAATTCTTCAAGATTTTAGGAAATAGTTTTCGTTACGGATTCTAGTTCAAAAATTTTTTTCAGATAGAACTTCTTTTCTTAATTCCTATAAGCAGACGCATTACCCGTAGAACTGAATTTCTTGAATTCTGTCAATTTTGAAGCTTAGTGTGGGTCTTCTACTTAGGTACCTTAAAACTACCCCCCCCCAAAAAAATGCACTATCTGTTCCATGTGCAGTAATCCCCTTGTCCACACTATTCTTTTCTTTTAGAATGCTTCCCTCTCCTCATAGAGTAACATTGTAGGCAAAAGACGAATAGATTAATGAAAGAACCAATATATTAAATGAAAGGACGTGCTTTCTTGCCCTTGCCTGAGCCTCCCCCCCCCACATTAATTTTTGCTCCCCCAATTCCCCCACGTTCAAAATGCTTTATCCTCGATGCATGGTCCAATTCTAAGTGAAAAAAGAACTACATTTTGTTTTAAAAAATTGAACTGAAAAATTGTTCCTAGCAACTATAGTGATGCTAAAAAATTAAGGACTTTTAAGGGCCCTTACTTTCCAAAATAGAAATTAAGCAGTTTCTAAGGACTTTTAAGGACCGTGGGAGACCGGCTATAAAAAAATAACAAGACAGCTAAACAAATAACCACATTTAAAAAAGATTAAATAAATTTTCTTTAATGTAATAAATTACAGAGTCCAGAAATTTTCATACAAATATTATAAAATTGTAATACATACTCTGGGTTTAAGACTAATAATGATTTTGTTCAGTTTTACAAAACTTGAGATTGACAATTACTAAATCTAATGATAAAAAGTGAAAGCTTTTCAAGCATTCCAAAATTTTCAAGCAATCCTAACATCTGCTCAACTTCTTGCACTTTCTTTTTTGAAAAAGACCTGTTTAAAATGTGTTTACATACAACAGCTAGTTTTTTGAGAAACATGTTTACTATGTTTGTAATGCATAATCTCTTATCAAAGAAATACAGGCAACAGGATTAGTTTGTTTCAAACAAATACAGTCAATTCGCTATAACTCGAAGTACGATAATTCGAATATTACCATAACTCGATTTTTTTTATGAGGTCCCGACCCTTTTATCTTCAATTTCATGTAAATTATTCTCAATTACTCGATTTACTCGAACGCCCTTTAACTTGACGTTAGAAAGGTTTAAAAAGGTTACTGGATCTTTTAAAGCAAGAAAAAAAACCTAGGAGCTGATATCTTGCCACTTTGCAACACACACAATAGACTACACACAATAGACTCAACTGGTCAGAGCAAGTTTAGTCTGAGTTAATAACACCTGTGGCCCCTGTGGGGGAATGATAAATTTGTTTTCCGGACAGAACAAGTTTTCAGTGTGAGATAAAGGGATAACACCTGTGGGGAATGAGTAAACTTTTTTCTGGTCTGAACAAGCTTTACCCTTATGATTTGCTGTTACAGATTGCGTGGAAGAAGTGTTTACCTCTAAAGATGTCGAAGCGAAAATTAAAAACTCTCAACTTGGAAAATAAAATTAATCTTATAAACGATGTAGATAGAAATCCAAACATGGAGAAGAAAGATATAGCGTTGAAGTACGGAATTCCCCCAAATACCCTTTCTACGATATTAAAAGAAAGAGAAAATATCCTTAAACGATATGAATCTACGAACACGCTGTCAAAAAGAATGAAGATGTGTGTCTTTCCCCAGGTGGAATCACTCTTCTGAAATGGTTTCAGCAGTACAGAAATCGAGAAAATGCTATTCCCATAAGTGGTGTTTTGCTACGTGAGAAAGCTATAGATTTTGCTTAACTGTTAACAATAGACAATTTTCACGCTAGTGCTGGGTGGGTAGAAAAATTCAATAGCAGACACAATATTGCCTTTTGCACTCTTCATGGAGAAGCTAAAGCTGTCCCTCTTGAAGTATGTGAACAGTGGTTAAATGAAACGTTACCAAATTTACTTCAAGGATACAGTGAAAATGATGTTTTCAATATTGATGAAATGGGTTTATTTTTTAAATGTCTTCCAAATAAGACTATGATGTTTAAGGATGAAAACTGCTCAGGGGGTAAAATGAGCAAGGAACGTTTGACTGTCCTAGTTGGAGGAAATGCGTCTGGGACAGAGAAATTGCCCTTACTTGTTATCGGAAAAAACCGAAATCCCCGATGTTTCAAGAATGTAAAAACGTATCCTTTGGATACGTCTAACAAAAAGTTTTGGATGACATCAGTTTTATTTGAAGACAAGAAATTGTAAGAATTTATTGTAAGAAAATTGGATCGGAAATTCTTCGTTAAAAAAAGAAAGTGATACTCTTTATGGATAAATGCACAGCGCATAGTGATCTACCTAATTTGAAAGCAGTAAACTTGCAGTTTTTCCTGCCGAACACAACAGCAAAGTTGCAATCGATGGACCAGGGTATCATAAAGTGCTTCAAACAGTCTTATCGTAAAAGGCTTGCCAGATAAATGATAAACGATATTGAAAACAATATTTCTTTCAAAGTTGATGTACTTGAAGCCACGAGTTTACTTTCCAGTACTTGGAATAATGATGTAAGCGAATCGACAATAAGAAACTGCTTCCAGAAGTGAGGTTTTTTTTAAAGAAACACAGAGTGAATCTGTGATAGAAGAGCTTCAAGATGAGGAAGTAATTGAGAACTCTGATTTCATAAACTTCGATGAAAACATTGCGTTTGTGGTGATATTTCCGACGAAGAATTCATACAGATCACAGAAGAAAATGATGAAGGTGCAGCTGAGGAAAAAGATTCAGAAATAATAGTTCCAAACATACTTGAAGCGCATGCATATCTAGAAGTTCTTCAAACGTTTCTAGAGAGTCGAGAAGGAATTGATAATTCTATGTTTGTGCACCTGCAGAAAATTGAAGATTTACTGTTTCTAGAGACTTAAAAGGGATTACTTCAACGTAAAGTGACGGATTACTTAAAAAAAAATTTAAAATGTAGTACAAATAATAAAGTAAGTTATTATATTATACTTTATAGTTTTTTTTAAAATATTCTAAGCATTTAGAAGATTTGTAATTAATAACCATTAATTAAACAATCCGACAATATTTTGAAAGTCCAAAACCGAAACTAACGTTAAGTTGAACTTCTGATATGTCAAAGTTTTTCGTCAGTCCTATCAGATTCGAGTTATCGCGAATTCACTGTATATATTTTGTGATAGCAGTGTTTTTGAAATAATAACTATGGTAGACAAATTTCGATTATTAACACAAAAGGCAGCATTAAAAAGATTATGCAAAAAATTTAAGTTTCCTCATCTTATTCTCATATGCAGTTACATGTTTTTGCAAATTAAATTTAGATAAACACAATGTTTATTGTCTCTTTTCTTTTGGTATTAAAATTTAAATTTGATGTAAATTTATTGGCAAAGATTTTGATTTAGTATATAGTAGCTTTAAATAATTAGAGAATTGTTTTAAATTTCTAACTCTATTCTAATTGTAGAATTGTTTTAATTTATATTTTATGTGTCTACATAAAATATAATATTTAATAAAAATTATATTGAATTATAATTAAATTACTTTCTTTATTATCCTAATTATTACAAAGAAATGATTTTTTTAAATTTTAAACAGTTATTTTATTTTAATCTTGAATAAATCTTTAAATAAAGTTAGAGTTTTGAGCGAAAAAAATAATAACATGCAGGTATATTTTAAGACAGTAAGGGAAAAAATATTTTCTTAAAGTTATATAATAATTTTCACTAATTTCAAATCAAAATATACCTTTTCAACTATATAGTATATGTTTATTTAATACTATTTTGTAAAGAGAATATTGTATGATAATTGTAAAATTACAAACGACTGGAGTAAAATGAGAGATGACTAGAACAATGACTTTTATAAAGCATGTTTTATAAACTAACAAGTTAAATTAAAAGTTTGATAAAATTGGCTCATTTCTAAAAAAATTTAAGAATACATTTAAAATTCAAATAAACACTTGAAAATGATTAATGATATTAAATACATTCTAAAACATTGTTTTATACATGGTTCTGACAATAAAATACATTGGTCTTTTACTTCAGCTCTCTTTGATGGTTTTTCATTTATACACGTCTCTCATTTTTCTGAAGAAAGAATGGTAAGGGCAATACTTTGCTTAATGGATTAAATAGATTATTTTATTAACAGTTCTGCTTTTTAAAACTATGTCAAGGCCTTGCAAATGCAACATGTTTTACAGCTTTTACTATTCACAAAGTTGTAATGAATAACAGAATGTATTTTTTTAAATTTGGTATCAATTGATGCTGCTTGCCTCTAATGAGTTTGCGACTGTTTTATTTTCTTATTTTTATTGTATCAGAATTATAAGTTTGCATATATTTAATGTTCTGATTTTCCGTTAGCTGCTTCCGTGCAAGAATCTCAGAGAATGAATTTATTTGTAAGATTAGTGTTTTGTAAAAGTTTACATAATAAGGATAAATCAGCGATTATGTGGAAAGGTAAACATTCATTTTAAAAACAGAAACAGACCAGTAGATTAGCTGTCATGGATGTTAGATAGAAGATATATGCTAGGTGAGAGTGGAGTAAAACAGAGTACCTCGATTTTGGCAAAATTAGTTATGCTTTTTTACAGATAAACTCTGAATTATGCTTCACTGGTCAAGAATGTCCTATCATATTAATTAATTCACAGCCTCTATGTAGATAAGTTTGTATTGCTACATCAATTCTCTAATGTTTCCTTCGCTTTAAATTATCCTAATTTATTGGTCATAACAGTTATAAAAAGTGCTTTTAGCCAGCTTAGTATACATTTACCAAAGATTCATAGCCAAGCACACAATGAAGATTTAATCCATTTAGTAGCACCGCTCTGTTTTGTTTCAAAAACCTCTGCACGCATAGTAAATCTGAGTGCTTCATGGTCTGGCCCTGCTCCTTTCTTTTTGTGTGTTTACGCTGGGCCCTTAAAAACTGCAGTGCAGCAGAGGAAGAAGATAACTACATCCAAGATTGCGCAAACTTTTTGAGCCTTAGGAAAGAAATTATCTAGAGCCCCATAATCAAAAACCCAAAAGCCTTATTTTCATATTTTGTAGTTCTTAAATTCTTTCGAAAAAACATCAATAAACATGTTTTTTGTTAAGAATTTTGGTCAAGTTCTCAGCCGTACTAGGTCCAAGGACAATCGTTCCCTTTCTTTCCCGTTAAACCCTTAACTACATCACATGTAAGTTATAAGCAGAATTTTCTTAAATTGTTGCATAAAATAGAAATGTTTGCTACATTTTCACTGAAAATCTATCATGTCTAAATTTCTCATAGAGTTAACATGCTTACCGAATTTACCTGTTCTTGTCTTTCAATTCACACCTACTGCTATTTCTATTTTTATTAGATCAGTCCTTTTTTTAAACAAAAAAATTTATTCCTTAACATTTCAACTGCTTTTAAAGCATCTCGAAATTTGTTTTAATGAAGATAATGAAGTAGATAATCAACCACAGAAAACCCAGACAAGAAAAAGATCTCAGAGTAAACAATATTTGATTTTGGTTTCTTTTGAACAAATGATGAAACAAGTATTAAAAACATGAGCATTTATGATCTTGAGTTTCGTAGGACAATTAAAAAAAATTCGAATCGCTAAGAAACTAGTCATGAAACAATAAATTCATTGCATTTTGAAAATTATCTTACTTTCATTTTCAGTTGTATATACATAGCATTAATTAGTAATATAAAATGGTAATAAAATCTATTGATATTTCCCTTTTAAGCTAATTTTCATGTTTTTTTGTTATGTATGTCTCTCACTTGTAAACTTTTTATAGCTGTCTCTTGATACCATGCTTAAATAAGAGATCACTGTATCAGTATACTAATTGATACATAAAAGATTTTACCTGATTACTATACTACAAAAATCAGAAATATGTCAAGAAAGTCTTACCGAAGTTATAAAAAACTAAAAGATAAAAAAAATATTTTATACATAAAAACGTTAATACACATCTCACAAACACATAAAAAATTACTGTAGTACCTTAATATCTTTTTTGCGATAAGCACTTATAATTGCTTGAATCCAAAGGCCACTGGCAGCTGGATTTCGATGAATTGCACTAAATACAAACATTAATAAAAATTAAAAATGTTTTATCTTTTATACAGATGCATGAGTTTAAATTTCTGTTGTAAATAATGGTTAAATAAACTGAGTTTTCTTTTATGAGTGAGGGTTTAGTTGTTGTAAGAAATATTACTACAAACAGATTTTAAATTTTTTTTCCACAAGTTTGAAAACAAATAAATAATAATTGCATTATAGTTTCACACAATCTTAAGAGCATGTTTTTCAGTTTATTTTTAATAAATTTCTGTTTATTGCTTATATTTTACTTTATAAAGGATATTATGGTAATAAAAATGTATTAATATTCTTCATAGAATTTATAATGAAAGCAAAATAATAGATAAAGAACAAAAATAATTAAACAACTAAGAATAACATTTCTAAAAAATTTCATTGTGCAATTTTATTGTTGTGTGTGAGAATTTGATAGACATAAAAAACATTTTTAAAACTTTTTCACTTTGATTTAAAAAATTTTAGATAATTTATTTAAAAAAATTAATATATTTTATTTATAAAAATATGCATAATAAAAAAATTTAAAGCTTAATAAAGTTTTATAAAATATCACATTACTCATAATGAAAATGATTTCAAACATTTTGAAGAGTATCTAAACCTCGTCTAAGATATACAAACAGCATTTTTTTCCAAAAAATTTCCTTGTTTACAACTTCATGAACTTTTACAAGCCTTAAAACAAATGTTGATGATTGTAGTATTTCTTTTTTCATAAAAATAACGTAGTAACTAAACTCCAAAATCTTACTGTTATTTTTTATTCATCTTGTAATCAAAAAAACATTATTTTATACAGAACAAATGATATTAAGGACCTACCTGAGGAAATCTAGTACAGTTGTTTCTGCAGATAAATCAATAATATGATTTACATGATTCACTATTAGCCATGTCATTTGGACAACATCATTAGGATTGTCACACTAAAATCACAACAATAAGAATGTAATAAAATGGATTAAAAAATTCGTAACTTAGTTTTGCTAAGCATGAAAAAGGCATACCATGTAATCACAGAGAAGAATGATTCCACCCCTATGAACCATTTCTAAATTGCAAGGAAGAAATAATTCTTGTTCCAGTCTTAACAAGCTAGAAGAAAATTTAAAAATCATACTTTTTTAAAAAAAAACTTATATTTAGTCAGGTGAAAGAATATTTTTTAATATGTAAGGGTTGCCCAAATAAAAAGCAGACACGTTAGATAGCATCCAAAACACAGTATCTACAGAAATGCCACCTTTCTAAGCTATAAACTAAAGTTAGCAGAGAGAATCATATACAGTGGAAAGTTGCGTATCCGGAAATGGTGGGACTTCTGGAAGTCCGGATATTAGGTTTTTCCGTATAATAGACCCCCAAGGTAAACGAAGCTAAAAACGATCTGAATCTAAGAAGCAAAAAATATGTAAACATTATTTTTCGGGCAATAATGTTTTAGTATTAGAATTATATCAAATCAATCTAAAACAAAATATTAGAAAAAAATAAGTATTGCTTAAAATATAGAAAACGATAAAAATTTGACAGTTATGAAATTATTAATGGCTCTCTCTTCCATTTTGAACTAAAACGATTGAAGCAAGACGGGGAAATTCCCGTCATTCATTAAGGTGGGTAGGTGGAGCAGAAAAATTCCTTCCTTCCTTCCTAATTTATCATTCAAGTTGAGGGCGGGAAAGTGACAAATTCTAATTTTCTCAATGATCACCGGCTATCAATCAAGCATAAAGGTGTGCCATGCTGATTGGATTCTCTTTATTTTTTCTTGTGTGCCTGAAAGTGACTCCCCCTCCATGTTAATGTTTGCTGCGTTTACCCTTTTTCACAGTATTTCTTTGTTCCCTAACATTCAAATAAAAAGGTTCTAGGAAATGCCTCTTTTACTAGCCAGCTGCATAGGAAAGAAGGGGGGAGGTGACTCAGTTGTGCTCTTTTGAAGACAAGTCTCCCTCCTTTCCTGCATTCCAGAGGAGGAGCGTCACTAACGGTCACTCGACGGTCTTGGTAGATCTTCTCTTTATGGTGATTTATGGGTTCAATGCATAAATCACTAGAAGCTAGAAAAGGAAAAACGTGTCAAAAGACCTCTTTTTTAAATTTTTTTAGGGGAAGATGAAGAGATGTTTGCTTATTTTGATTAATAAGTGTCCAGGAAATTGACTCCTCCGGAAAAGGGATGGGTCGCCCTGATATGGGACGTTACATTATATTGTGTATTTCTGAGTAATCATCTCCAGCAAACAATTTTAAATGAATATAAAGTCATGCATAGATGGATGTGTCCAGAATACAACAAGAGTACTCTTTTCAAAGTAAGAAGGTGAAAGGAACGAGGACATCTATTATCAAACATTTGCTGATTATAGAAAACACTGTTTAGAACAAGCAGCTATGAACAGAAATTTAGCAAGCAGCTATAGTAGAAATTTTCATAAATGACATGTATCAGTATCAAATATAAAAACAACTTTTGAAAATTACCAAACTGAAACAATAGTTAAAAAAGGCACTATCATAAATATTAAAGCCCTGGACAAGGCAGAATATTATAACATCAACAGAATTTTAAAAAAAAAAGAAAACTTATTCTTAAAATTTACGAATAAAAAAAGAACCAATTTATTGAGTATGAAATTTATTGTGAACAGCGGAAAAGAAAGAAAAATCAAAACATAGTGGAATCAGAAATGTAGCACTTTTTAAAAAAGAAAGCTGCAATCTGCTTCATAAAATAATCGTGTGCTATTAATAATAAATAATTGGATGCTTAAATTAAAAAACAATCATCTCCTTTAATTTTTTTACAAAAGCAGACGATTTTTAATGAAAGCAGATGTGATTCCACATCAACAAAAACTTGCAAATGATACCACATTTCTAAAGAATCAGAATTTTTTCAATTGAAAAATATTGTTTCGTTAATCAATGTCATAATTATAACAGATTAAAAAACTTTTTATTTATAATAAATAATGGTAATAACAATATATTATCCGAAATTATAAAACAATTTGCTCTAACAAATCAAGGATAACAAAAATTGAGTAACTAAAGTGGATTAAAAAAGAATCTAACATGTCAATACTCTTGAGGCAGAAGTTTTAAGTTTCTTAACTCAGACATCCAAAAAAAATCAGAGTTTATTGCTAAAACATTAATAAAAATGATGTTTTTATATCAGAAGTAGGCTCTAATTATTTAGATAATCAAGGTCCAATTATATCTGCAGATTGTGTTACCTTCATAACACTGGAAACATGGTGTATTATAGTGTATGCAGTAAATTCACTGTAATTTTCTTGCTTTCCTTTATTTTCCATTTCTTTTATATGCCTTCTAAATTGTTTTTTTTTTATTTTGCTAAAATTTAAGATTTATTTCTATTTTTAGATTTTGACTGCGGCAATTTTGATGTTGAAGATCCGTCACCTTCTTGAAGGCCAGTTTAAGCTCACAAACACACTATAAAATCATTAATTGATTTAAACCAGCAAATAACAACCTGTGAGACAGTTGAGAGATTAAATTTATGGAATTTGACTGTTCGTGATTACTTGAATTGCCTACATTTAATTTCAAAGGCATATGGCCTCAAGTTTTCTTAAGGAAAGAAATTTGTACCATCGCGTTGGAATTTGTGAATTGCTTTTCAAACGCCAAGAAAATTATCCATTTTTTAAGCCCATTATCACTGAGGACGACAAACTGGTTATCTACAACAATGTTTAAGTCTGTGTAAAAATCTTTAGATGGTAAAACCTTTACCTTAAATAAGATCAAAAATCATCTAGATCAGTTTTATTGCCACCTAAGAACCAAACTTTCATGAGAGTGGAATCATGCTATGGCCAGAAAGATGGAAAAATTATTGGACCGGAATGCTAAATATATAATTCAATAAAATATTTATTCAGTGTTAGAAAATCGTAATTTATTTTTATAAAAAAAGATACTTTCTGAACAACCTGATTGAGTATTGCAGTTAAAGCTAAAATCAAATAAAAACATATTTTAACAAGTTAATATATGTTGAATTTTTATTTAGGCATGCAAACGTTTTATTTAACAATTAAATTATGATTAATTCAATTAAGCATGCAAAAGTTTGAGGGAAAACGTTTTCTAAATGTTATTTTTCCATGAATTCTACTCATGGGCAGTTTTTTAAGTCTCTTTAATGTCATTATAGAAAGCCAACTGTACGAGTTTTTGCGTAAAATAGAACTTGGTAACATTAATAGTAAAATATTATATTGATATTAATCTTAAAATACTACGTATAATTAAAAAGTTTTAAAAAATTTAGATAAATTTAAATTTGAACTTAATTAAAACTTATCAGCAAAATGTTATTTTAAACTATTTATCATGAGGAATAAGAAAGTTGTTTATTTTACTTACGTTGAACAAGGTTTTGTTTGAATAGGTACCAAGTCTTGGCAAGGGTGCACAATTGTAGACCAAAATGTTTGACTGTCATAGTTCAAAAGTGTTAACAAATTACACCATTGTATAACCAAAGTTGGATAAAATGGGGCTATTTTATGAAAAAATATTTCTAATTCAGATACAGAATAATAGACATTATATTTAGTACATAGATCTTGGTCTCCTGCTTCATTTTTAATAATGCCCATAGCTGAATTTGTAACACTTCTGAAAGTACCTGAAAAAATCAATCATTAATCAAGTTTAAAATCAAACAACATTTAAGATACAAACATCTAATTGTAACTACAGGAAAAACACAATCTCTTTTCACACTGAGCAAAAAAAATAAAGATAGCAGAAAAGTAGCAACCTAAGGATGGATTAGTATTCACTTAAGTATTTAACATTAAATAACATATTTCTGAAAATTAGTCTAACCCCTACTCTTAAGAAAGTGAGAGTTTAGCTAGAACTAAATAGTAAGCACTAATTAATTTATGTTAGACCATTCTGTTTGGGTCATGAAATTTTTAAAATAGCTGAAAATCTGATCATCGAAAGGTTATTGAGGCTAATCATCGTTCATGACAAATGCAGGCACTTACATACAATATGCCGATAGATCATGTTTAACAATGTCTTTAATTCAAAGTAATCCCTAATTTAAAGGTGTTTACTGAATCCTTGGTTTTTACATACTTTTATTTGAAATTTTTGTAACAGAAATTTTAAGATAATCTACGGGACAATTTGCATAGCTGCCAAATCAACCAATTTTCGTGGATGTTTTTCTTTTTATTATTAAACAGACAAAATGTGCATGTTAATATTTTTTATTCTTGTTTGACAAAGTAGATTTTTAATGATTTAGACTACTACTACATGCAAATAATTTAAATAAATATATTCAAAGTTCTCATATATTAAAAAATAAGATGGATATGAGAAGCTCTTTTCAATAAATAGCATACCCCCAAAGAACAGCTAAGTCAAAAAAAAGTTCACATGTGAATATCACAAGAGTTAAACTTGAAAATAAAACACTTGAAAGGATATTTAACAAAAAAAAAAAAAAAAAAGGAGAAACATTTAACAAAAAAAGAGAAATTATTTCAGAAACAAGAAAGCATTGTTGCATACAAGATACATTTATTGTACCCTTTAGAAAGAAATTTAAGAAGATTTTAAATGCATCCTTCTAAATCTTATGAATGCATACTTGATTTCATGCTAAAATTTGCATGACAAGTTTCGATTATCAATGTCATATTATCAATGTGAAGCAATCTACAATAGGCCATGGCTACCTTAGATTAGTTTTGACAATGCAAAATTGTTCAACACTTAATTTTGATTTTTGTTGGAGGGAAATAAAAATCAATTTTAGTTGCTATATTGGAATGAATGGTTAGATTTTGAAGTAAAATCAATACAAATTTTAACATAAAAAGAGCATTAACATTTTAAAGCAATATATTTTTTTCAATTAAAAAACTATTTGAAAATAATGGAATGATGCAACAGACAAATAGACTGCAGACATACATGAATATAAAATTATGAAGTAAAGGATTGTTTTTTTCAATAACGATTTAAATAATAAATAAAGAATGAACTACTTTTTTGATATTTATTATAACACAATGAAGCTTTAAGGATAATAATATGTTTATAAATATTGCAGAATTAAATAAAATAATAATGTAAGTTCATAATCTTTTAAATGAATTTTGAATATTTTTGCTGAAATGTTCTTTTATATAAATAAACATTAAATTTAGAAAATATTATAATCTTAAATAAAAACATAGTTACTGCATAAATACAGAAACAGTTTGTTTACACTAATAACAGAAAAAAATAATAAAAATGAAAATCAAAATAGCACCTCATTCTCATTTATGATCTTGATTCCTATAACTTATAACAAGGAAAAAAACAGTTAAAGAAACTTTTAATCTTAACTCATTCCATAATTAAGTTATTTAACCCACTTTAGAAAAGTAATAGAACATGTAGTTGGGGATGGCATATTTTATTTTAGGCATTTTTTAGATACATAATGACATAACTTTAAACTTGCATAAATTATTTTTTTATGTATAATCATGCAGAAACAATGATACATGCATAATATTTTATTAACACGATAAAAAACAAATAAAGAAGTTTTGATTTTGAGTCATTCGTTTATTACATTATTTAAATAATTTCAAATATTATCGGAACATGAAGTTGGTCATGGTTTGTTTTATAAGCATTTTTTTAGATACATAATGACATAACTTTAAATTTACATAAATTAATTTTTACATGCATGCATATTTTTTCAGAAACATAATGATACACAAACATTTAAAATTTACAGGTTGATGCTTAATTTTAAGCGACACAGACTCACATTAGCAATTAAACTCAAAATTCAAAAGATTTTTATGGGAAAATTTACTACTTTTTCATTATATTACACTTAAACTAAAAGTATTTACATTAATAATTAATAAGAAGATTTTTTCTCTTGAAAAAACCAGGGTTGGCTTTTAAAAAATCCCTTCTGTTTAAACTTGGTTCAAGCTTCACTGGTTTAAACTGTTTAACCCTGAAGATATATTTTAACATATTCTACAAATCTACAAAAACTCAACAACATACAACCTGTTATAACTACAACTCTCATATTTTAGTTCTCTATCTTAAATAGCCTTTGTACCAAGCTGAATTATTTTTAATCCAGTAATACGAAAATGTGGTTGTCTAAAAGGGCACTCTTCGTCTAACTTTAATAACAAGAGGATAATCCGAGAATTTAATAGATATTGAATCTTTGGTTAGTTTCAAAATCTAACTCAAAATAATCTTCTCCAAATTAGTTATGTTCCAAATGACAACCTCACCGGGATGCTGTGACTACTTTGATTTGTTAAGAAAACTATATTATAATAACATAAAAAAAATTCCATTTGTTTACCTGACTGGAACATGTGAGTAAGATAAAGAAGCAAATGAGCAGCTTGTTGGCACAAAAATGTATTATGAGTAAATGATAGAGTATACATGTACGCATGATTGCACAAAGATTCCACAACAACACCAAGAACTTGAAATAAAAACCTGTTTAAAAAGTAAAACACTTGATCAATATTAAAAGATTGCAATGAATAAAACATAAAAGAATATTTAAGTATTTTTTTATGCAAAACTTTATTTTTCTTACTTCTTAAGAATGAAAAAAAAATGAAAGTTGTTTGTTTATAAAAATAAGTTTAACTTCAAAAAAAAAAAAACAGAGGTTCAGTTGAAAAAGTTTGATTAAACGTTTTACATAGTGTTTACACAAAAATTTTATTTTAAGTAATAACTTCAGCACTTGCCACTGAAGCACCAATACTATAAATATTTAAAAAAACAGTTCTATTAGATAAAGGATCAGAACCACTATTATTTCAAGGAAGATGTAACTCAATCGATTAACTTGAATGGTAGATATAATAAAAAGAATGGCATAGACTATAAATAAATTGAATAAAAAAATCACTATACTTAGCTAAACATGATACAAACTGTATAGAGTTAAATCTTAATTAAACAAATAGCTTTCTTTACATACTAAAAAATTCCTTTACTAATCACTCAAGCTTTCAGTGCATTTACAGAAAGAAAAAAATTCCATCAGAAATAAATCTACTAAAACGTTTGCTTGAGGTAAGGAAGAAGTTCAAAGGAATATATTTCATTGGTATTGTTTTTTTTTTAGATATGAAACTGTGATTGGATAGTCCACGATATAATGATTTGCAGTTCCGATCTTGCCCCACATACATTTATTACTATTTGTGATATTGAATCTTCTCAAATATGCCATGAAGAGCCAGTGTCTTACAAGAAAGTTAGTTAGCTCCCTTGGCCAGTTGTGTAGAGAGAATGTGACTGATGGAAGTATTTTCTTGATCTTCTCCCCAGATTCTGGTCAGTGGAAATGCCAATATTTTTGCTATTTCCTTAGGATGTTGGATTTAGCCAGTTGCTTAATGTATGATGTTGGATGTTGAGAGCTCAGCTGGAATGCCTGTGGAAATTGCATTTTTTGCTTCCCTGTATGCTAGTTCATTTCCTTGGTTGCAGTCATGTGTTTTAATCTGTCTGATAATTATGTTTGATTTGGAATGTAGAAGCTCTTAGATTTTATATATGATGTGATGATTATTTATATAATTTCTGATTGCTGCTATTAGACTGACTATCTGACCAAATGCTGGCTGTCTGATCTGGCAGACTATTAGTTGCGTATTTTATGGCTTGTTGTATTGAATAAGCTTCTGCTTAAAAGATGGAGTTTTCTGTTCTGAATTTAAATTTGTGTATGGTTGGGGTTTGGTTTGTGCTCATTATAACAACTGCTGCTGTTTGGATCATTTTCAACTTGTCTGTACATATGTTTATGTCTGTGGTTTTTGTGTAGCAGGTTTAGGTTGTTGTAATGATGTGCTTACTTTTATTTAAGCTGAAGAGTGAGGGATTGATTCAGTTATACATTTGTCTAACTTCTATTTATTTTTTAGTGTAGGTCTTGCTTGAATGGATAAAAATTGCATCTTGCTTTTTTGTGAGCAGAATTGCTTTGGCTTCTTGGCTAAGAATAATATTCAGGGATAAAAGGGCCAGAATCACCTGTAGGGTGCTGGTTGGTGCCTTTCCATAAGCTCCTGGGAAATTAATTTTAAAAAAAAAGATATAAAACAAGGTTAAACTAACCAGTTGGCATAGTGCCAAAATTTAAAGCTATCATGTTTAACTACAGTTGAGTTCACTTTTCCCCAATAAAAACCTTGCTTTCAAATATGCTGCTTAACAATCAAGTGATCAATGTAACTGGCACATAAAAATGTAAAAAAAGTTACGCTAATATGTGAAAATTTACTGCGAAATTGTAATGATAAATAACAGAAATATTTAAGCTGTAAAATTAGCCCTTTTCTTCTTTATAATTAAAAAAGTTTTGTAGCATATAATTTTATTTAAATAAATTTTTTATTAACTTTTTAACCTAAAAGCATCAGCAGAAATGTGTGCTATAAAAAGAATGTGTACTATAAAAAGAATGTATACCTATGATAAGGTTAAATGATAGAAAAAACTACAAAATAAATTTAACAAAAATATAATTCATAAAGAAAAATCAGTTACCTAGCGAATACAGCACTAGGTAAATATTCAGTATAATGGCCAGAAACATTCTCAGATAATTCTTTTTCACACCTCATATTGTGAGACAATTCTAACTTATATATTTTAACTGTTATTCCCATATCTTCCAATCGAGATAATATAGCTTCTTCATTTGCTTGACTAATCAATATTCTCAAGACAGCAAGAATCATACACATCCATCTGTTAATATATGGTGACACAGTCTGAAACACATATTTTAAACAAACTAGTCAAAAAATAATAGAAATTAGAACAAAATTGCAAAAAAGTTATAATAATCTAAATAAGAAATTTTTAATAACCTTTTGTTATAATAGCTTACCAAATCTCTAGGCTGAAAAAATAGTGCTTTCAAAAGAATATCTACTGGTCTAAACACATTAGAAGCAACATCCTCTAAGAGTTTATGCAACAGGTTTAGTTGCCCTTGATTTTCGATCGCTATCTAAAAACAAATAAGAAAAATACATTGTGTGAGTTTAAATTGTAAAAAGAATTATTGAAAATAATAGTTTAGATATAGAATAAAAAAATAAAGCAATACTTATTCAAATGCAATGCATTATTTATTGGCAGCCAGAAAGAGTAAAAAATTATAAATAATCTCAAATATAAGTTTAGCTATTAGAAAATATAACAGTAATTTTTGGTAAATACACTGTACCTTAAGTGGGTGTATTTAATGCAAAAGCATTGTTTTTTTAATGTTTATTTCTAATATATATTATATACATTGATTTGCAAAAGGGACAGAAATTTTTAATCAGAGTTGAAAAATAAGTAAAAAAGAAATACAACTAAAAGTATTTGTAAAAATTGGATCACTGCGTAGAATAAAAAAGAGTTTACTTCTTAGTTTCGTGACAATTTGAAAATGAAGTATTTATAAAGGAAATATAGATGAGGAGAAGAGAGAAAAAAATAAAGTGTACTAGTTTAATTATTATTAAGTTACAAATCAGAATTTATAAACTCATTTGCGGATGACCTAATACGGTTTTCTCGCCTGTCGAAAACTTCTTTCATCAAACTATATTTTAATAAAAAAAATAATAAATAAGAAAAAAAGTTTTCAGAGCAAACATTACAAAATAGGTTTGTAATTCTGGAAAATTTTCTATAAACATTTGTTTCTGAATAAATCCACTGTGATTGCAAAATTATCATGATTCTTTACATATGACGCACATTGTGACAGTTCAACTTTTAAACACAGATAGGCTGCAACCTATCTACTAAAAAAAACTGTAATTAAAAAGTTACAGTTTTTGATTTTTGGGGGAAATTTTTAAATGTTTAGATATAACGTGGAAATTCTTCCATTATAGAGAAATGAGAATATTCTTTTATATACTTTTTTTTAAAGATAATTCAACTTAATACGACTCAGTAACATATCATACAAAACTATTAAGATGTTTTTAAATCTATATAATTAAATATTCGTCCAATAGACTACATACTTTCATCAGTTTTGTTAAGTCAGGTATATAGTAATGTTTGTATAGTAATATAGTGATGTGTTAACAGCCCAAAAATATTTTTAGTTTAACTTTATTACTTATAGTCAAATATAAATTTTGATTGATAAATGCCAATCTAGCAGAGACAGAATTGAATAAAATGTCAAAATTCTTTAAAGAAACATCATTTCTGAAAAGAAAAAACTAAAGAAAATCTACCTGTTGTCGGGAGAGTAGAGGCAAAATAGCATCAACAACCTGACGAGAAGTCTTTTTCCATTTATCTTCTCCTTCTTGCCGACTGTGAGTAATTAATAAAGAGAAAAGTTCTAAAACCTGTGGCAGTAAAAAAAATATATTAGATAGCATTTTAGATGGACACAAATCAATCATGCTTTATTAATCATGGTGTACTAAAATTACAAAACTACATTCCTCAGTGAAACCCTGAAAAATTGCTATGTATGATCTCAGTCTGATATCAGTATTTTCCAGGTGTTGTACCTGAAATACAATATAAACTTGCAACTGTTTAGAAAATGTCTCTTATAATGTTTATGTATTGATTAGCAACTTAAAATCAGCAGAAACAAACGCATCTATTGCTTTGAAAACAGATTCCAATTTTTCTATTTCACTCAAGTTGCTCCCAGACAAAAATATAACTAGGGTAATGCTAAATGGAGTGCCTTTATACAAAGAGTGATGACACACTGCTGAAAATTTTTCTTTGGTGGAAGGAAATTTTTAACAGCCCTGTTGGAAAATTTAATTTATAATGTAGGGTCTGTGTTTAAAAAGATGCCAAAAATGTCATCAGTATCTCAATATAACAAAAACAGGTCTCAAAATTTGATAATACTTATTAAAAACGCATATATTTTTACTTTTAATATAGAAAGAAACTTACTCAAAAACATTTTTTAGAGAAATAGTAATTATTTTTGGCAATTTAGGAATAAATTTCACATTTCAAGCATATTCACATTAAAAATATTTTAAGATATCATATCCGTATACAATTCAACAGGGAATTAAAAATTAGTTCATGTTAAAAGAAATTCATGTTAAGCGTGTTCACATTAATGAAGTTCGACTGTATTTGTTTTAATAAGAGGCAAAATTATTATTGATTACTGCACTTAATTTGATTCTATTCTACGCACTAATTATCTATTTTACACTCTGCTTTTTAATATAAATATTTTTCCATAATAAATTAACAATTTTTACTTAACATCTTTTTTTTTAAATTGTCGTGATTTCTTTTTTTATTTACAATAACCCTTTCAGCAGCAATGGCATAAAAACTGTCAGACTTATTTTAACTATATAAACCATAATAATTGTATTAGTTTTCATGTCTTAAGCTACAGAGTTTTTAATCAACCACTTTAAATTTTGAAAAATAAAATTATAAAACAGTTAATTTTCTTCTGGGCATGCATACAATACCATAGTTCTCATGACTTTTCTTCACTTTGGTTCGAATTTTTCATATCAGGTTTTTTATATTTTATTTATTGTTTCTTCAAGTTTGTAACATTTTTTTTCTCCTTAATTTTAGACAATTTTTCTTCCTTGATATTTTTTTTTCCATTTTCACGATTTAAAAATGTTATCTCTACATAACGAAAATTAAAAGATTATTTTGATTATTCTAGGTAAACATATTTAATGCGCTTAGATTACGTTACAATGTAATTTTCAAATTTTCTTGATTTTGCTTTGTAACCATCTTATTGATTTTACATAAATCATCCTTTACTTGGATCTTAATTTTTTAACGTTTTGGGGTGGGCTAAGGCAGAAATGTTTTGGCCGATAGTCTGCATCTCCAAATAAAATACTTTTTTGACAAGTAATCCGCAGATTATAAACCAGAAAACATGGTAATATAGATTAAAACTGCATATCCCCACACTGAATATAATTTTATTAATTAACTAATGTTTGTTTTTTTAAATGGGAAGTCAAAATGTTTACCAGCCTTTTCTTCCCAAATAAAAGGTAAGAAAAGAAAGTGTGCAATAAAGAGATAAAGAAAATCACAAAAGAAAGGAGGAAAGAGGTATAAGTCCTCACATAAATATGTATCACTAAGATTTAAATATCAAAAACATAGAGTTTTGCTCTAATTTCAAAGCTGTTAGACAGTCTTTTTGATTAGACCTTTTGCATAGAAGGCAAAGAACCACCTTTTTTTTTATGAAAAATCACTTTTTTGTGAGGTACCACTTTAGCGTCGAAGGTGAGGAATTAATATAGGTTGACTTTAAACTTAGATTTAACAACAAGGAAATAAGAATTTTCAGAAGCTTAAGTGTAAATCTATACCCACTGAAGAAAGAAAACAGCATTAGAAAAAATATTTAATATTCCTCTACATCTAATTTAATAATCCTCTAAGTATATTATATTTCAAATTTAATATTTTAGAGGGGCACAATCAGCAGCCCACAAGCTACATGGGGCAAACCAGTCATTAATGTGGAAACTAAACCTAGCATACTGAAAATAAATTATTATTAATAATGTTAATGAATAAAATTGAAGCATTTAAAAGAAACATGGTTTCTTTCCTCTTCACAATTGCAGTGGAATAATGAAGTTGCAGATGGAGATTTTTTCTTCTTTCAAGTGAAGATGAGAAGATTCAGAACATGTGTTCCAAAACATACATTTGCATTTACATATTGCGAGATTTTTATAAAACTATGTTATGTTTGGCAAAACCTAGAAGACCAAAACTGACGAGTTTTAAGCAAAAACAGAGGTTTAAAATTGTAAATACAAAATAAGATTCTAAAATCATGAACTTTCGAAAATTCATTTGCTCTAAATGGGATTTTTTCTTAACTATATCTTAGTAAAATATGTTGTGATATGGTTCATTTTGATCAATGAAAGATGAATTTCATTAATAAAATTCATCTTTCACTGATGGTTAAAGGAATTTTATTTTTTTGATTTGCTTAGAAAGTATATTCTCTATACATATTTTCCAGATTGTGGAGACCAAACCCTCTCCCCCCATATTTTACGGTCAAAAATTTGAAGTAATTGGGAATAAAGTACATTTATTCAGATAAAGTATAAATTTGTGCTTGTATTCATAACTTAAAATACTTCCTTCCTTCCTCAATGGCACGACAGCCCCGGGTGGGCCCTGGCCTTCTCAATCAACTTCCTCCAGGCCTGCCTCTGCCTGGCAGTTGTCTTCCAGTTTGAGACTTTTAAGACTGAAAAGTCTCTTTCCACGCAGTCGGCCCATCTCAGCTTTGGTCGACCTCTGGGCCTTGATCCGATGGGCTGAGCCGAAAAGATTATGTTTGTCGGACGCTCTCTGTTCATTCGAATGATGTGACCAGCCCATTTAATTCTTTGAATTTTTACATACTTGACAACATCAGGCTCTCTAAGGGCCCGATAGAGTTCTGAGTTTGAACGTCTGTACCAAGTACCATCAACTTGTTTGCCCCCAAAAATGGATCTTAGGATCCGACGTTCGAAGATTCCCAAGGAATTCTCATCTTTCTGTGTTGTTGTCCAAGTTTCTGAGGCATATGTTAGGATAGGTCTGATTAAGCATTTATAAATTAACAGTTTAGTATCTCTTTTTAGTAGGTTTGATTTTAAATATTTTTTTAATCCATAGAAACATTTACTTGCACTATTGATTCTTCTTTGTATTTCGGGTGCGATATTGCCATTAACGTTGACTTCAGAACCAAGATTAACAAAACTGTTTACTTTTTCAAACTTGTGTTCACCAATTTGCAAGTGAGTTGCAGAATCAGTTATTTTGGTGCATTGCATGTACTTGGTTTTCTCCTGGTTAATAGTGAGATGCATTTTTTCTGCCTCTTTTTCCATGGATAGAAAGGCTTGCTTTAAGTCAGATTGTGTTAACTTAAAATACTGTCTGCACTAATTAATTAGCATATGTAAAGTTAAGCCCACAAGCTGTAAGATTAATTCTTAATATGTAAAAATCATCTCATAAGAACAAGATAGAATGTAAAAATTAGTACCTGTGCATAATTTACGAGCTTGAAAACTTGAGAAACAATAACTTCACGTTGAGCATCTAATTCCTTACTCACATCCATCTTATTTAAGCTTCTGAGTAGGAATAAATCTTCTATAACAGGCTTTAAAGCAGGCACAACTGTAACATAAATAAAAGTACAAATATAATTTTATCAGTATTATAAAGAGTAAATGATATTTTTTCTACATATTAAACACATTCTATAATTTAGAAATAATTATAAAGATTTCTAAAATTTTGAAATTGCAAATATTACTCTACTAAATATTTTAAAAAGTAGGATATCAAATTCAATCAGTGGTTCACCTGAGAAAGTGGTTTTACAGGAAATTAAATATATTCAGTGATTCTACAGAGATTCTACAAATATTTTTAATTTACTTACATATTGTAAAATAATATGTGGGTGTAAAACAAATTCATAGAATATTTTTGACAATTCTTAAAAAGGGGTGTGTCTAGAACAAGGGTGAGAATATAACTGCATCTTAAGCCACTATCAACAACTATAGGAAACTTGTAGGACTTGCTTCGATGAAAACTACATTTTTATCCAGATATCTGATAATTTGTGAAACCACTGCATTACTATATATGGAAACCTTGTCTAAGATAATCATCAGACATTATGCTGAATGCTGCCATAATTCAATCAGGATTCTATCAAACTTATATCCTTAGATGGGACAGAAAATTGAAATTTAAGAGGAAGAGGGATGACTGATCCAGGCTATGAAGCCAAATTTATGAACTAATATAAGCAAGTTTTAAGCGCTTTTTAAACACTCAAAAAATATTTTTAAGCACTTAATATGCTCACTAATAAAAAAATTTCTTCCAATCGTTGAAAGTTCGTCTAATGAACTTATCAAAATGCAATAACATTTATATAAACTTTTCAATCTTTAAAAAAAAAAATTGTTTCTTGCAAAGAACTAGATTCTTGATTTTATTAGCCATCATAAAAATATTTTATGTGCATTTTAAATATATTTTTAAAACAAAGTTGCTGGTTTTATTTTTTAAGTTAATGATTACTTTATTCAATTAGGTAAAAAAAGTTAATCAAAATTACAATTAATAAGAGTTTAATATTAAAACTTCATCAGGTGTATTATTTTTAGATTTATATAAAAGATATTTATAAATATTTGCTCAATAAAAACATTCACAAGATTAATATTATTGAACATGCCGAAATGTTTGGCATATTATTGAACATAGTGAATTAATAAAAATATGTGGAGAAGCGTGCTATCAAAAAAATTTTTTTAAAGTGTAATTTCACTTTTCAATTAGGTTTTGCTGGAGTGAAATTTTAAACTAAAAGAATTTTAAAACAGAGATTACATTCGTAAATTATTGCTACTTTATAGCACGTATTATATTAAAACTAACAGATATTATATACAACAAAAACACTCTAGAAATATTGCTTAAATATATAACCAAAACACAGTAAACAATTAACCAAACACATATTATTTCCATATAAGGATAAAGTTTTACGAGTAGACTAAAGTTTTCTTCAAAAAAAAGAAGAAACATAAATTATGTTCACGTTTTTTGCTTTCACCATTATACCATAAATTTGAAATTCGTATCACAATTAGTGCTGTGTCTTTAGTGGCATGAAAAGGGGATCCTTTATAAAACAATCTAAAAAGTTAATCTAAATACTCATCTTTAATTAAAGCTTATTTTTTAGATATTGTAATATATTTTGAGTTGCAAAACCTCTTTCACAGGTAGCTTTAGCTATTGGCAATTTTAGAACAATTAATTTCTTAAATTCAGAATACAGAAAAGGGACGCGATTGTCACTTTCTCAACACTTGCAGATATTATTACTTAGTGATTGATTTTCAGAGATTAGGTTTCTTTAAAAGCAGTGAAAAAACTAACAATTTAAAAAAAAATTTTATAGGAGTATTTTCATTCCCAGTAAAAGTGGAATTCAATGGGTGATACACACACATCTGCATGCATATTGGTGAACTCTGGTAGAGTTAAGCAAACTAAGAAAACCTTAATAAATTCATATCACAAATTCATATCACAAATTAATATTTATGAATGTCACCTATTAAGTTTTAATTAAAACTTGTGGTTTGTTTACATATTACCACATCGAAATTATTAAAAACTTTGTCAATATTTTTAAAAGAAAATACAATGAGAATTGAAACTAAAGATTTTTGTAAGAAATAAATTATTAGATGATTCCTACATTTATATTTTCTTAATATGAGATTATTGAATTTTTAGTTCAATTTGTTTTAAATCAGATAATAAAAAGGTATATTTACATTATTTTGGAATAGAAAATCTGAATGACATAAGATTTTTTACAGCATTCGCTAAATGATAAAATTATGAAAAGTCTCTCAAACCATACTTTATTTAAAATCTTGTCTTTACAAACTATAGATTTTTTTCATATACAATATAACTCAAGAATACAAACAATAATAGCAATATTTTAATATTCCAGAAAATAAAACTGTGATAAAAACCTCATATATTTTACAGAATTAGTGAATGATCCCTCACTCACAAAATCCTACAATTAAATAATCTTAATGTTTAAATTAATTGACTAATTAATAAACTATTAATTATAACTAATATTCATAAATGGAAGAAGAAAATTTCAAAGTGATGAAGCTGTATGATTATTGACTATTCTGGACCCACATGAAAGCATTTAATTAGTGTATAATCCCCTAGTAAAGTTGTGGTATTGATATATAAATAAAACAGTGTAAGAACATTATGAATTTGCCTGCAACACAGAGTACTTTAAAGATGGTGGCGAATAAAATTTTTGCCATAGAGGGAAAAAATTGGCAATGTTTATTTGGTTAACAAAATTTGTAGAGATTTTTGTTTTCATTTTAGAGGTCGAGAGATGAAGCCTGAAATAGAAAATCTCTTCTAAAATGTAGCAGAGTTGGATATGTGAAAGCAAGAATCCTTCCCATCCAATTCCAGCTTAGTGCATGTGCATGCAGACCCTTGAGTAATTCATGAAACAAAAATTATTGTCAATTTCTTGTGCTATATACGATGATATGTTAAAATAGATTGACATTGAATGAATTGGGAAACATTGCGAAAAACCACACTTTTTGCATAATTCATGGCAACAATCAACCTGGCAAAAAAACAATCTCATTTCAGACAGGAAAAATTAAGCACTTTTTACAAACACCCAATAAAAATATTTATATTTTCTAATATGAGATTATTGAATTTTTAGTTCAATTTGTTTAAATCAGATAATAAAAAGGTATATTTACATTATTTTGAAATAGAAAATCTGAATGACATAAGATTTTTTACAGCATTCGCTAAATGGCAAAGTTATGAAAAGTCTCTCAAACCATACTTTATTTAAAATCTTGTCTTTACAAACTATAAAGATTTTTTTTATATACAAATTAACTCAAGAATACAATCAATAATAGCAATATTTTAATATTCCAGAAAATAAAACTGTGATAAAAACCTCATATATTTTACAGAATTAGTGAATGATCCCTCACTCACAAAATCCTACAATTAAATAATCTTAACGTTTAAATTAATTGACTAATTAATAAACTATTAATTATAATTAATATTCATAAATGGAAGAAGAAAATTTCAAAGTGATGAAGCTGTGTGATTATTGACTATTCTGGACCCACATGAAAGCATTTAATTAGTGTTTAATCTCCTAGTAAAGTTGTGGTATCGATATATAAATGAAACAGTGTAAGATCATTATGAGTTTGCCTGCAACACAGAGTACTTTAAAGATGGTGACGAATAAAATTTTTGCCATAGAGGGAAAAAATTGGCAATGTTTATTTGGTTAGCAAAATTTGTAGAGATTTTTGTTTTCATTTTAGAGGTCGAGAGATGAGGCCTGAAATAGAAAATCTCTTCTAAAATGTAGCAGAGTTGGATATGTGAAAGCAAGAATCCTTCCCATCCAATTCCAGCTTAGTGCATGTGCATGCAGACCCTTAAGTAATTCATGAAACAAAAATTATTGTCAATTTCTTGCGCTATATACGATATGTTAAAATAGATTGACATTGAATGAATTGGGAAACATTGCGAAAAACCACACTTTTTGCATAATTCATGGCAACAATCAACCTGGCAAAAAAACAATCTCGTTTCGGACAGGAAAAATTAAGCACTTTTTACAAACACCCAATAAAAAAATATATACCTTGTGATACCTTGAGAACGACAAATGCAAGGAACTAACATTCCAATCACAACGCTGCCAATCACATAGTATTTTTTTTTCTATAAGAGAGGCATTAATTTTTAACATCTGGAACCCTGTTTTTAAAAACTGGTACCAATACAGACTTCATAATGTTATTGCCATAAAAATGACCAGGTTTAATAAAGCACACCCCAATCTATCCATCCGTGTTTTTTATTGATATCAGAAAGATCTCTTTCAATCTTTTTATGCTCCTTGTGAAATTATAGAAACATTTGGCAGAGGATGGGATACAAGAGGGTGATCGCCATTGTGGGATGACAGCTAATTCAGCCAAGATCACTGATCAAGATTTGTATGAAACAATGGGTGGAGGTTTGAATGGTGTTTCATGATAGACCTTATTACAATTGAAAGTAGGCTTGTTATAGAACTAAAAGAAGCCGAAACATTTTACTTTTATATATTAAAAGTGTGCAAAATCAAATAAAAACTTGTGGTAAAAGTTAAGTACAAGAAACACAAAAAACGTTTTTCTAGTATCTCTCAATATTCATATTCAGCATATAAAAAAAAATATTTAAAAAATAGCTAGCTAAATTAAAAAAACATATAACTAAATAATAAATTATAGCAAGGATTTTCATAAGTTATGTTTATGACACTTGTGTATAGTTCACAAACGAAAAAGATATTCAGATAAAGAGAAAAGTTCATCAACAGTGAAATATTTATGTGAACCATATTCAAGACCGTCACTCTATGAAAGTTCAAGATAAGTTGTTAGATTTCCTTATTTTTTTTACCATTTAGATTCACAAACCATTTCTGCTTTTAATTAATTTCAATGAATCTGAAATATTAAAAAGGAATGCAATCACAGACGAAGTGATGAAAATGTAAAAAGATTTACCATATTTTTCAGGAGATTGCCCACTAGCAATCAATCGATCACAATGTTGAAGAATCTGAGGAACTGTTACAACCATTTTTGAGTGAAATCGTTCATAAGACAACAAAATCAAAAAATAGAAAATACGTCCAATCAAAGCTTCAGCATTCCTTAATCAAATAAAAAATGACATTGTTTTAGCAGAGTATGAAAATGAATATGTACATTTTATTCATTTAAATAAAAACTATTTCAAACAAAAATTAATTAAAACATCAAAAATACTTACGGAATTTGTCCTTCTTCAATGTACTCAAATTGCTTAAGCACATGAGAAATAAATACTTGATCAGCATCAAGAAGACAATAATTTACTCGTAACTGAACTAATTGGGCAAGTAAGTCTAGAACTTCACATTGGAGATTTACATCACTTGAAATTGTATACTGTTGTAAGGACTGCAGAAGAAATATTTTCAAAACATTTTAATGGAATACTTAAACAATCACTAAAAATTTCCTGATTTTTGCAACTACAGTACAGAACCCGTTATCCGGAAATCAGAAAACCGGAAAACCAAAAACCGGAACGAAATTCGATAAATTTTCCCGCCATTTTNAAAAAAATTTTTTTCCTCATAAGATTTTAGGATTTTTCGTTCTTTCTTGAAAGATGTTTACCTTACCATCATTTTGGAAATAATCATTAGTTAGTGTATTACTTAATCGTTTTTTCTTCTTTTTAAGATTATTTCCAAACTTTTTTTTTTTTAGTTTGGTTTAACTATAAAAAAAAACGGCTTTTTGTAGCGATTCAGAAAACCGGAAAAATCAGTTATCCGGAATATCGATGGTCCCGATCGTTCCGGATAATCGGTTCCCTACTGTACTATCTTATGAATTTTTCAGTTGTGTAATATTTATATCAGGGCATGATATTTCCATTTGCCAGCTCGTCATTGGAGATCAAATATTTAAGGCTGGCGAGTAAAGGTCATCCTTAAAAATGTTCATTTTTAAATTGAAGTAGATATACCTAGATTATTGTGCCTTAATTTAGAGGCACGTGGGAGTATTTTGAAATCAAACATTAGTATTTTCTTCTTTTTAAGATAAGAATTGCTGAGTTACTTGCTTTTCACATAAGAAACTATTGTTTCTGGAAACATTAGTCAAATCTGTGTTTCAGCACAAAAATGGATAAAACTACATTTACATGTGTATCAGCAAATTTTTATTTAGTGCAGATTGGTGTTACGTTTTGAAATAAGAATTGGATAGGTTTTGTATAATGGAGAGTTGGGTGAAAGCGTTTTTATTTGTCTCCAAATAACTTTTGACTTATACAATGGAACTCGAGTTTATGTTTTTTAGAAATATGTTGAAATTTTGTATTCTTTTTTAAGAATTTTGTTTAATAAAATATAGGAGTGGAAGAAATAGGGTATATTTCTTGCCGTACTCAACA